GCACTTGCCAAATCAAACATCACTATTTGCTCATACTTAAGAGTAGAGATTTAAACAAACCCTTAATCCAAAGCATTAAATATAAGGTGCATTACAGACATGAATCATACCTCAAATTTTGCAGCTTGTTGCTGGAGTAGGCTACTGTGCCGCTAGTATTCTATTATTCTTGTAATATACATATACAATTATATAAATGATATATTTGAATATATATCTCCTCATTTATTCCTGGACCATTTTAAAAAATTTATATTTGGCAATTAGATTAAATTTGGCATTTAACTAATTGACGATTTAAATTACATGTTTTTATATTTTTAATTTAAACATTTTTTTTAAGCTTTGCTGTTTATGGCATTGTAAGATGGAGGCAGGAACCGACAAATGTTCAACAAACTTTAATTCCAAAATGAATATACAACAGAACAAAGGTAAAGCGGCAGCCCCTCATGGACGACTGCCACAGATAGGCTACCATAATAAAACACAACATAGAGGTCCAAGGCCTGGTCCTCTCTTGTCTTCCTCTGTCATCACTCCTTTTATCCTTCCGGAGCTCCTCCGTGGGACTCAAGACCGGCGTGGGTCAGAGGTGACGCTCATTAACAATCGAGCCATCGGCCTCTCTCCGTTCTTGGCCCTGCCCTGTTCGCCACAGGCATATTTTTGGCATTAATTTTAAATTTATTTTGGCCAAAACTATTTTTTGGGAGTGTGGGGACATTGATGTTTATTCTAACACATTTATCAGTCCCAAGAACATATTCTATTACTCACACATAATGAGCCTGCACTGTTAGTAAAAAAAAAAAAAAAAAGGTTCAGATTTATTATTGCGTAGTCCTTTTATGTTTAACAGCTTTTTTCTGGTTATGTTTATGAGATGTTTAATTCACACAATTTTATCAACAACAAAAAAATTACATCACAATTTTGGGGTGAACTAACCCTTTAAGCTCCATTTACAAAATTGGCACACCAAGTTTACCTCTTTTCCCAAGCCATGGCCATAATCTTCTCATTTGCTTTCTCTTTTTTCAGTGCACAGAAAAACCAAAGTTCAATTCATCTTTCTCTATTTGTATAGCACTAGCATATAGGCTACTGTTGAATATTTAATCTTCTAACTTGTGTCCTACGATTCAATAGGTGTCACCATCATATAGTCAGTCTATACACGTCGTACCCAAGTTTATTAGATCCATGTCGTAGGCCTACAGTGTGAATTGTAAAGATCTTATTGTCGAAATCGCTCCGTTTATAGTGGGGCATGAAGTCTTTAGATGTACCATAGCATGTTGAGGGTTGACCTCAGTAGCTCAGTCCACCACAGCTGCTTTGATGAGTTCTTATGGGCTGATAAACCTGAAGTTCTTCATATACTGTGAACACATCCCATTTTGATCTCCTCATCTACTCTGCGACTTAAGAAAATGGCTACCTTTACTCAGTTTCCCTGTCTCTTCTTCTTACCTTTTCTTTCTCCCACTCACTTTCCAACTCCAATGCATTTGGAGCCAGTATGGCAAACATGAATCTAAGCAGTCGGAGAGATACGTAGAGGGAGCGCAGAACACTGTGTTACCCCTGCAACCCCCCTCCTCAGAAACGCTTTATTCCCATCAGCTGCATTCCTCTTATCACTCTCTTCCAGATGCACGTCGGGCAAGAGGCTCCATAATTAGGTGGCGAGATCTCAGTCTCCGATCACTTTGGTACGTTATCAGCGCTGACACCAATCTCCTTGAGTGACATTCTACCCAAACGGTTATATAAACCACAGTCCAGGATCAGTGTGTGAAAAGTCAATGCAGCAAGAAGATGAAGCTCTTAAAAGCTCGGGGCAAATGCTTTCCTCTTTCCCTTGTTGTTTCTTTTTTCTTAATTAAACGCAGAGCGGCTTCTACGGAAAAGAAGGAAGAGCGGAGATAAATGGCGTGTGTATGATGTTTCATGGCAAAGATTTCTTGGTGGAGCTGAAAAAAAGTCTTAGTCTGCCTGGAAGCGGAGAGTCGAGATAGTGTGCTGAAACATATGAACATAACAGAGAATAGAGGCGATTTGTAGAATGTTGGTTTGACAGCTTCTGGGTAACAAAAACAATTTTCTTTATTTTTTCTCTCTTTAGTTCTTTCTTTCTTTCTTTCTTTCTATCTATTTTTAAGGTTTGATTTATTACTTTACAGAAAGTCACAATTTTAAGAAATAAATTTGCATTTTAGATATTGAACATCCCATTGTGAGATATTGGGTCAACATTACATTTATTTTTATTTTATTTTTTTATTTACAGATTATCTTTTAAGAGAATAGCGGTGCCACTAAGTTCTATAGGTGATCTGGTAGCGCATTGATAAATGCAATAATAACTATATTACGTTTATTTCTTGGAAATGCACATTTCACAGTAAAGCACTGAGCTTGAGCTTTTATTCAAAAACTTAATTTGCAAAAACCTAATTTTCATAGTGAAAATTTTATATATTCCAATCCACTCCAAAGCAGCGTTCTTTGCTTTCTTTCTGTACAATTCAGCTGCATTTTGAAGAAAATTTTGTTTTCCCACGAGACTTTGTGACTTTTCTTACCTCATACTTCAAAAATTGATTTCTTGATGATTTTATATTTTATAGTTGTGATTTCATAATGTCTAAATGTAAACTAAAACGTAGGCCTATCAGGGGGTGAAAAGGTTAATAAGCCAATATGTGCTCCTCTGCCGTCATCATGGTTTTAGTGGTAAAAAATGTGTTTGCAACCAAGTGTTTTCTTTAAACTTTTAGTTTTACTAACGGGGACAATCTTTGAAGGATGAACAAATAATGTTTTAGGTCATCACATTAAAAATAACATTTAAATTGGATAATAATTAGGGCTTTGAAGTGCAGGAAAAAGTGTGAAGCACTGGAAAGTGCTTGAATTTTACTCTCAAAAGGTTATACGAACTCTGAAATGAATAACGTAAAAACCATGCCATGGTTACAGTAAGACTACATTAAATCCATAGTGAATACTGGTGATTTGTGGGCTGAGAAACCTTCTAACTTGTTTGTTCTTGACACAATGTTTCTCCTGTCCATGTCATTGCTGTTTGATCTGTTATCTATGGTTTAATATGTACATTAATTATGGTTTAATACAAATAAAATATAGGCCCAATAACTTTGTTTATGCAAATACCAGTTGTTAAGGATGTAGCATTATTCAGGATTAGATGCACCATGTAATATAACATATATGTACACATCTGTTAACTCTAATGTGAATATTTGAGGCAATGTCCTGCTCAATGTCAATGGTGATAACAGCCCTGCCTGCTGCTCATTGAATCTCAAAGATGTTTTATCGCAGAGTAATGACTCCAGTCCATGATCCAGTTAGACTGCCCCTGAGGCTTTACTGAACATGCGCACACATTCTTAATCTGATGTTTCGATCTTCATATCATAGCATATCACTCTCATGCAGGGGGTTAATGTCTTTTACAATCTTGTTTTTGAACAGAAACAGAAAGTGGCAGCTATTGTTTAATGTGTGCTAAATGAAAAGTACAGTCTTATCTTGCTTGGGCAGATTGTGTGTTTTTATTCATGCATTTATATGTTTATTTATTTCCAGGCCTTTCAAGACTCAAGCATTGTCAAGGCCTCAATGATGTAACTGTGGGAAGGTCCTTCTTGGGCTTATAAATTTAAAGAATTGTTTATGTCTTAGGTTGAGAAAGGGCTTTTTTTTTTCTCGGCAGAAGACACAGGGTGTAGTCTGAGCTGTGCAATGCGCTGATTCAGGCAAAATCCCATAGTTCCTAGATAAACTGTATGACTGGTGATGTAAGAGAGACACCAACAGGCCCACAGAGTTTACTCCAGCCTGTATTATTGCCTTGGTTTAAACTGTCTGCTAGATAGATTAATAAATAAATAAACAAATAAATAGAAACCATGTAAAATGACTATATATATATATATATATATATATATATATATACAGTATATATGAAGAGTTCAGATGCAAAAGCCTCAAATGCCATTTGAAATTTTCTTCTTTAATGATGATTTTTATCAAACTTGTATATTTAAGTTCAGTAATTTCACTTAAATAACCATTAATAGGTAACTATCATTGCCATTTAAGTGAAATCACTGAACTTAAATATACAAGCTTGATAAAAATGATCATTCTAGAAGAAAATTTCAAATGGCACTTAGAGGCTTTTGCATCTGAACTCTTCATATAGTCAATTGACTATATATATATATATATATATATATATATATATATATAGACAATTGACTTGTCTCATCAAATGTGCTCAGTTAACTGTACTTTTTCTCATTGGTAAATAACCATTTAAATGTTTCCCAAATTTTAACATATACAGAAAAAAATAATTTTAAAATTTAAACCTTCACTGGAGTAAAAAGTGTGACAACTAGCAACAGTCGCCCTTATACACATTAATCCTTAGTTTTTAGTCATGTATATTATAATGTATCATTAAAATGTGTATATTTTTTTTTTATAATATTAGGCTACATGTATATAAATCTATATTTTATACAGATTTTAACATTCTTAAATGGATCTAATAGCTAATATTGTTGATAAAAACACCGTATAAAAAACATACGTGCTGGTGTTCATCTATTCACCTTAACTGAACTCATATTGGGAATGCCATTTATAAAAGTGTATCTGAATAGAGGAAATGCATTTTACGTCTTAATCTTGTCATTCTGCTTCCTCCTTCGCGTGTTTACGGAATTCAAACTTGTTCACATTTTAAAGTTGATCTGATTTCATTAACAACCGCAAGCATCATACAAGTATTTGAGTTATGCAGCAGGGAAACACAGGTGAAACACACAGAGGTTACTCGAGTTCATTCGTGAAGGGACGCGCCCGTTGCAATACAAACCACGCCCAATATCTCAACTCTGCGTTCTGATTGGCTGGGCGCGACTAACGGGGTGTTGATTTCCGGTATGCGGAGGCTGGAATTTCAGGTTTCCCTCTTGTGGGTCTCGGGGTAGCGTAGAGGAGACGCGCATCTCCCTGATCACCGACACATTACCATCTTCCGTTTTCATGCATTTTATCGTATGTGTTTAGTCTTGGATAAGGATGACGGAGAGCGCGGGGAATAAAAAAGAGGATTGTCATGCAGCGAATGGTGTGAAACCAGGAAGAAATGGCATGGTGAAGAACCATCATCACCATCATCAGTATCAAAAGCAGGAGAAGGTGAGGCCACATCATGCATTGAGAGCTTCGAATCATGCATGTCTAATATTTCATATCTACAAGTGCATTTTGTTGCTGATGATGATGCATGGCAACACAACAGCTCTTCTGCCTGGGTAGTGTTCAGTTAGTGCATGACGTGCAGTTTCACTGTTTATGACATGATCACATGTGGAAAAGTAAAGTTTGACAGCCAGAAGAGATGTAGACTTTCTCTCCATAAAACCTTTTTATGAGTCCTGGGCATCTTAACATCTGAAACATCTCTACGTGAGACTGCCAAGTGAAAACTGTTGAACCAGAAAGTTATTTTGCAACCTCATGTTGTCTTTGCATTTGTAAGTCAAATCCACTGACAGAGACAAGCCAAGATATGGATGTCTTTTTTTGTTCTTAAGTCTACAAATATAAACCATCTTTGATAATTATTCACTGGATAAATGTGTCTCCTTGGGAACACTGTATGTGTATGTTGTTTTTGTGAATATTTCCATTTGTTTCATATAGGTTTATAGAATATAGATGACCTATATAGACCTATACAAGTAATACAATTCTGCTTCTAGATTTGATTAGTCCCTGCATTTAGCTTGCATTAAATACAGTATATAGTGGGTTTTAGTAACATACATATATTAAATATACATTTAAATATGAATATTCAAATCTTATTTTTATAATTACTTAATCTATATTGTGTATTTAATTTAAGTTTATTGATAATAAATCAATCAATGGATCTAATGTTATATGCTATAAGCACGGAGGAAGGCAAGTCAGGATCTTGGTGTCATATCTTGCATCTCATGATTCAAGTTAAAGCTTTAGGAATTTTTGTCATGTGCCTCCTATAAGTGTTTTGAGTGGGAGATTGGTCAGCTTTATCTATTCCAAGATATCCCCTACTTTGTTATTGTCACATCTCCCTTGTTTAGGCAACTAAATCTGTCTTATAAAATCTTTTGCTCTGATTCACTCTGCATTGTAATGTTTATAGTAATAGCCTTTAAAGGTATATCACACAGATCTAACTTTTGTAAGTCTGTTATCGCTCACTTTTTCCTGGACACCACTTTGAGCCTTGTGGTTGAATACAAAGTTGGGCTGCTGTCTTGGAGCTGGCGGCGACTCACGTGGATGTCACTGTTGCTAGACTCCATGGTATTTGTTAATGGGGCATGACTAGTCACATGTGCCTGCAAATCACAGGGTTTTGAATGACCTGCTGGTCTGTTTGGACAGACTTGTATGGGATCATTTGGTCACCATGAGTAACAGAGTTCTTGACAATGGGAAACCAAATTTTGAAACTTTAAGTTACTCCGACTTGCCAATATTCCATTAATAAAGCTTGCAGTCTTACAAATGCATGCCACTGTTTCTGTACTAAACTGATCCGTATCCGTTGTTCTGCAAACGTTTGTGTTGCACAGGCAATTTACACAACTCCAATGTGATGGTATCATGACTACAGTGTTTTGATGGGGTCTGCTTTACAGGTTTACAATGCTGCATGCAATGGAGAACTTTACAGCAGGCCTTTCATCGAGTCCTTCGAGGAAACTCCCATGCTGGTTGCTGTGCTCACGTACATGGGCTACGGCATCCTTACGATCTTTGGATATCTGCGGGATTTCATGAGGGAGTGGAAAATAGAAAAATGCCACATAGCCAGAGAAAGGGAGGAGCAGAAGGTAAACATTGTCATGTGTGCTTGGTGGAAAAAGTAGATGTATACACTACTGTTCAAAGTTGTTGTTTTTTTATTAAAATAAATGAATACTTTCATTCAGAAAAGATTCATAAAATTGATCGGTGACAGTAAAAAAAAAACATAATAAGGTTTCTTGATCATGTGACACTGAATAATGGAGTAATAATGCTCAAAATTCAATTGCATTTTAAAATATATTTAAACAGATGCTGTTTTTTTTTATTTTAATATTATTTCGCAATATTATTTTTTGACTATATTTTCTGATCCCAAACTTTTAATAAGTAACAAGTTTTAATGGGAAGATGGAAACTCTTTTATTGCTAAAAAGTAAATTACAATAATAAAAAAAATATTAGTTTATCTTAAATGATTATGTTTAAAATTCATAAAATGAAACTAAATTTATTGGTGTAAGTTTGAGAGGAAGAGGTCATTTTGTCAGAGGAAGGATATTGTGCAGTTTACCGTTCCTGTAAAGTACTTTAGGGCACTGAAAGGTTGCAGTTTGTTTTGCTACATGATTTTAATGGATGTTGTTCATCCTAAAATATTGAAATATTGAATTGTTTCTGTTGGTAAAACAAAAACAATTTGTCCCCCCCAGGGCTTTGTTCCACTTTATCAAGACTTTGAGAATTTCTACACAAGGAATTTATACATGAGGATTCGTGACAGCTGGAACAGGCCCATTTGCGGTGTTCCTGGGGCCAAGTTTGACCTTGTTGAGCGGAGTTCCAATGATTACAACTGGACCTTTGAGTAAGTAGGCTGTCTTGAACCTGAACACACACACATACAAAACACATCTTGACTGTTTTACCTCCCAAGATGAGAGCTGGATTAATCTAATGATGCTAATATCAAGGTCACGTGTACAATAAACTTTCGAAAGTAAGGCTACTTTTAAGTATAACCTGATGAAACCTGATTGAAACTAACAATCCAGTATGAGGTTGTCAAGGACTAGCATTCGCTCAAAAGAAATCTTAACGCAATTGAACTGTGCTCTTTCAGATACACTGGGCGAGTGGTGAAGAATGTGATAAACCTGGGCTCGTATAATTATCTGGGCTTTGCAGAGAACAGGGGCATTTGTGCCACAGCTGCTGGAGAAGTGACAGTGAAATTTGGGGTGGGCGTGGCCAGCACCAGACAGGAAATGGGTGAGTGCTCGTTGGTTACTTTTTAGGAAATATTGGGACATAAATGGTGGGTATTTTTTATCGGTGCTGGCACAGAACCCTTAAGCATTAAACAGACACATAATGACATACCATTCCTTTACTGAAGCTCAAATTGCGTAGATTACAGAAAAAGACTTCGGCCAGTAAGCAACCACCTAAAATCCACCCAAAACACTAAGGGACCATTTACACAGAATGTGTCTTTGTTTTAAAAAACATACATTTTCATTCCATTTTCAAGACGCTGAAGACGCATCTTTTTCGGCAACACTTGATCTATTAATAGGTTTTCTATTTAAAAAAAAAGAAAAACTGCATTAGACTAAACTGAGAAGGGCCATAGCACTTACATAATGCTGTCCTATTGTTAGTTAAACTGTTTCTATTGCTCTCCTCATTTGTAAGTCACTTTGGATAAAAGCGTCTGCTAAATTATTAAATCTAAATGTAAAAAAAAAAAAGTCTAACTTCTTTTAACTTCATTGCTGTGCTTATCGCTTCACTTCAAGCTGTTTTCATCCGTCTGCTAACCTTCACTATATTAAACTGTGTTAGGTTTTTATAAAGGAAATTTGTTTACAGAAACGACAACTTCTTCTCTTCTATCTCCATGCAACATATTTCTTGTTCGTTAGGCATCCTCTCACATTTCCCACATGAGCACCTGTACAACAACTAATAAGTGAACATGTTGCAACATGTTCAAAATGTGTCTGTGTGTGTGTGTTGCTCATCCATCACTACAAAATGGCTGAAAAAACTCTACAACAACTAATTAAATCACTCAAATAACCATTCAGAAACGTACTGGTTCATTCTCAAAGTTGTTGCTTTTTCCGGAGTCTCTCCTTCATCAGTGTCCGACTCCGGTTTATACATCGTTGACAGTCATATTGATTGTCCTGATTTCGTAAAGGGGTTCTATTATGTGTCAACTAGAGTCCTAATGTTACTCATTTAAATAATCTCCGCCCACAGAATACACAAAAAAGGGGACGAGGTCTCCAACGTTCATCTGTGTGCTGCACGTTTTATGGAGTACATATCATTTTCTGTTTTTGTAAGCTTTTGCTTTTGTAAGATTGTTCACCGCTCCATGGGAAAATCTGGTTGTATTAACATATTTTCCAACAAATATGATTAAATGGTGGATAATATCGAATCTATAATGTATGAAAAGAAAAATACCACTCTCAGTCTGTGCATGAAATCTGTTCAGCACGGTCCTCCCTTTTGTTAACATAGTCAGGGTCTGATATTTAAGGAAAACCTGGATTAATAAATGATAAAATACATTTCTTTCAAATATTCAGCAAAGAAACATTAGAAGCATTAGAAGGGTAGTGACACAAAAAACGATTTTAGTCGAAAGAAAGGAAAAATGTAAATAAGGATTTGTAATGATCTAAAACAAGTTAATTGAGGAATACCTTAAATACTGAATGATGAAATAAATTTCTTGCGAAGCTAATAGAAAATGAAAACTCAGTCGGGTCTATTTAGACCCATGTTGTGCATCAAAGGGTTAATACAGTTCAAGTCGCAATGAAGCTGAAATAGCGATCAATCTTTTCTTCTGTATTGTGGCGTAAGTCTAATTACCGGAAAAAGGTAGGCCGGAGTCGGAGGCTTGGTTCTGTTCACCGATTGTTGATCGGATGGAGGCAGAATGACTGAATTGTGGTCGCTGTTTTAAGCTGAACCAATGATTGAAGTTCTGCATACATCAACAGAGAGAAACTCTACATTTACATTTATTGATTTAGCTGACGCTTTTATCCTAAGCGACTTACAATTGCTATATATATATATTTATATATGTCAGAGGTCGCACGCTTCTGGAGAAACTAGGGGTTAAGTGTCTTGGGACACATGTGTCTTATCCACTGCTCCATCACCACCCCGTTTTCACTGTAAGATCCAGGTTAGACATTTTGATAAAGAAATTGCAATGTCAATTTAAAAAAAAAAAAAAAAAAACTATATGAAACATGCATGGAAGAATTGTTCCCAGAGAGATCAATATCACATATTTATAAAATAGGGTGATTTTTTTTTTTTTTTTTCATGCTGACTTTAAATCTAGTAGGAGCTTACTAGGATGACTTTGCTTTCGAAATATACACAGGTGTTTGTAGCTAGCTACTGTTTATAATACGTGAGTGTTTGCTTGCATTAGCTGATTTATTTCTGTGATTTGCTTAGGCAACCTCGACAGGCATGAAGAGTTGGAGAAACTAGTGGCGTCATTTCTGGGAGTGGAGTCGGCTATGGCTTTCGCCATGGGCTTTGCAACCAATTCTATGAACATTCCTGCGCTAGCCGGCAAGGTTTGAAGCTCTAGACTGTTTACTTTCCTCACTCTCTATTTTCCAGTTTGCCAACTCCTCTCTTCCTATTTGTTGCTGTGATGATCTATCCAGGCAACTCCTAAAAATCATAGGAGTGTCAGCAAAGGCGGATCCCACCTTGACCTGTCAGCGCTTGTTTAAATGATACACGTGTTTCTAGTGTGAATGTTTTCCTTTGTTGTTTTAATTGTGTTTGTAACATTTTATCACTAGTGAAATGGGAGGAGATCACTGTAATAGTGCAGATAGACCAATGCTTCCAGCTCAAATAGTTTGTGTAGCTCACACAATGGAATGCACTCGATAAGGCACAAAATGACCACAGGAAACGTGCTTAGCTGAAAGTGAACCAGAGAGTTTCCCAACCTCACTTCCTGTTACTGGCCAGAAGAGGTCTAGTGATTTAGCACATTTAGCAATGGCAATGAAACAACAAGACAAAAGAAGCAACAGAAATAGTTTTTCAAAAGCTTCAAGTCGCATCTTAAAAAGTGTCTAAAGATATTTCAAAAGCTAATTTGAAAAACAATTTGATATATTTTTATAAACACTACTGTTCAAAAATTTGTTGCCAGTAAGTTTTGTTTTTTGTTCTTAAAAGAAATTAGCTTTTATTGAGTAAGGTGATCAAAAGTGATTTGTAAAGACTTGCATTGTCTTGCATTGTCTTGCAGCATCACAAATGCTGTTCTTTTGAATTTACCGTTCATCAAAGAATTCTGAATTTAAAAATAAAAATGATTATAGTTTCCATAAAAAAATTAAGCAGCACAACTGTTTAATATTGATAATAAAAAGAAATGTTTCATGAGCAGCCGATTTCATGAGGGAGTGGAAAATAGAAAAATACCACATAGTCAGAGAAGGAGAGAGGAGCAGAAGGTAAACATCGTCATGTGAGCTTGGTGGGAAAATTAAATATGGACTTTAGTTTTAGTATTTTTACTAAAACTATGTTGTATTTTTGGAAAGAAATAAATACTTTCATAAAGCAAGGATGAATTAAATTGACCAAAAGTGACAGTAAAGACAATGTTACAAATGTTGTTCTTTCGAACTTTCTATTCATCAAAGAATCACGAAAATTAAGTGTCAAGGTTTCAACATATCAAGCAGCACTGTTTTCAATAATAATAAGAAATGTTTCTTGAGCATCAAGTCAGCAAATTAGAATGATTTATATTTTTGATCCAATATACACAGCCTTGGTGAGCATAAGATACTAAAAACATTTAAATATCTTTTTGGCCCAAACTTTTTAACAGTTGCCTGTGTCCTTCATTTCCATAACTTTTTTTTTTTTTAAATAGTTTAGTGATGTTATACCTTTTCTACTGCTTTTTATGTGTGAAATGTGTAATGAAAATATGTAAGTGACAAAAATTGTAATATGTGTGTGTATATATATATATATATTACTACAAAGTAAGTATCTACTCAATGACTATTTTCTTACAGTGACCTGACACGGTTTTTCTTGTTTGTAGGGATGTCTGATTCTAAGTGACGAGTTGAACCATGCCTCTCTGGTACTGGGAGCCCGGCTGTCCGGCTCCACCATCCGGGTCTTTAAGCACAATAGTGAGTTTACACTCACAGGCACAACTCTTATCTTACCAAATCTACACAAACACACAAACTCACTTCAGCTGTTAACAGTACAAGGTAAAGTATGAACTTTTGGTGGAGCTCCAGTGCATCTGCTTGAGTGGAAGATTAACAGACCTTGACCCATGTTAAAATCTTGAAGGTCTTAAAGTTTAATGAGGTTCCTTATTTGTAGTCTGGACGGTTTTTGGATTTTTTTTTTTTTTTTCTAAATGCCAATTTGGTTAATGTCCAGTCAAACACTATGAATACAAATGCTATTACTGGAAAGGTCAGCTCTCAATCACAGTTTGGCTGTGTTATTTTCAATGAATCATTTAAATAGGCAATTTGGACAGATGACTGTCTGTCAGTGATTAATAAATAAGCTTCTAAACTGATAAAGTAACTTGAGGTGTGTATGTAATGATCCTTGAAGCCCTTGAGTCAGATTGTGGAGGCTTGGGGAAACTTCAGCAGCACTCTGATCACTTATTACTAAAGTGCTCTGAGCAGTTCTCTCACTGAAAGTTTGTAATGAATCTATGTGCTGTGGTTTCTTAAATTATGACCAAGGACACGGGCAACATTTTAATACACTATGACCCCAGAAAACCACAAAGATGAAAGAAACCAGTAGCTTATGCCACCAATATGCTGCCATTTTAATCTGTATTTGTTATGAAGACACACCTTGCACAAATGTCGGAACCATGGATAGTCTATCTATAGATGAAATCTCTCTCTCTCTCTCTCTCTCTCTCTCTCTCTCTCTCTCTCTCTCTCTCTCTATATATATATATATATATATATATATATACTGTATATATATACACAAACACACACACAGTTAAATTGATAAAAAATGGCAGTAAAGAATATAACATTGTTTAAAAAAAAAAAAAAATTTGCTTTCTGTTCATCAAAGAATCCTGAAAAAGGTATAAACTTCAACAAAAATATTAAGCACCACAACTGTTTAACATTGCTAATAATAAGAAATATTTCTTGAGCACCAAATCAGCATATTAGAATGATTTCTGAACATTCATGTGACGCTGAAGACTGGAATAATGTTGCTGAAAATTCAGCTTCGAATGAATTACTTCACAAGAATTAACTACATTTTGAAATGTATTAAAAACAGAAAATAGTTATTTTAAATTGTAATAATATTTTGCAACATTACTGTACTGTACCGAACTGTAGTTTATTTATCATTACATTGCAACTATTAACTGCCTATGTTCTTTGTTTTGCACCAGATATGCAGAGCCTTGAGAAGTTGCTCAGAGATGCCATTGTTCATGGCCAGCCCAGAACACATCGACCCTGGAAGAAAATCCTCATTCTTGTTGAGGGCATCTACAGGTGATTAAACACTCTCACTTTCCTGGAATTCATCTCATTCAAAATGTGCAATTCTGTACTCCTGTGGTTTTCTTAGGTATGGAACATGTTATCACATTCACATATACACTAAATACTGCGCTTTTTACAGTTTAACCATCGAATGAATTGCCACACATTTCAAAGTTTAATCTACTCTAACCGGTCCTTTACTTAGTATGGAGGGCTCCATCATACGACTGCCAGAAGTTATAGCCCTGAAAAAGAAGTACAAGGCATACCTTTACCTGGATGAGGCTCATAGTATTGGGGCATTAGGACCGAGTGGTCGAGGGGTGGTGGAGTATTTTGGACTGGACCCCAAAGATGTAGACATCATGATGGGCACCTTCACAAAGAGCTTCGGTGCATCTGGTGGATACATAGGAGGGAGGAAGGTATGAAGTTCAAGTGCCAATTTGTAATTGCAGGCAATTTCTGACCAATAGCTAAAGCCCAAACAACAACTTGTTTATATACTCCCTTTATATTTTATATATTAAAAAGGTTTAACAGACAGAGACCGTTAACTTACAGTATATATAAAGCCTACAAAATATTTAGGCATTTTGAAACTGTATTTTTAGGTGCGTTTACACATCAGCAATGTACTAAAAATGTTTCGTGTACACAGGGATCCACGAAAACGACTAAAAACACTGTATTATACTTCCAGGCCAGTAGTTGGTGATGTCACTTTGTAAAGAAACTCTATGCACCTATAGACTAAACATGTAATACGCATGCACATGACATCACCATTTTCACAAATTTGCGTTTTTGTAGTTTACATGGAGACGATTATGTCATAGTGTTCAAAAATTCCATTTTCAGGCTGTTGTCAAGTAAATTAACGCCGTTTTTAATTAAAAAAGCTGTTGGGTAAATGGGTTTATTCTGGTGATTCGCCTGTGTGCTCCTTGTTGAATTTATTATTATTTTCGTTACTCATTTGTCATGTGCTTCATTACAGCCACGCCCTGACAGAAACGTCTTTTCATCCTTTAGGATTTGATAGACTACCTGCGAACTAACTCTCACAGTGCAGTTTACGCCACCTCCATGTCGCCTCCTGTCTTGGAGCAAATCATCACTTCTATGAAGTGCATTATGGGAGAGGATGGAATGACAATAGGTGAGCATTACTAAACTTTCTTAACTTTGGTCATGCTTTCTTTTATGAGGAATATATATCTTTTATCATTACCCCCCCCCCCCCCATCTTTTCTTGCATATTAATGTTAATGCATGTGAATTGAAGCTTTCTAGCTTTAAAAAGGAGAACAGTATAAAAGTGACATAAAAGTGGTCCACATGAAGATAGCTTTTAGGACTAAAATTTAAGTTAAAAAAAAAAATAATACAATCATACAGGTTTGAACATTGGATTAAGTAAATAATGACATACTTTTAATTTTTGGGTCATCTCTTGAAGTTCTGTATATAATATCAACCATGTTGTTGGGTGCACCACAAGGTGGCAGGATTGACCCAAAAATAGATAATCAGCTTGCATGGGTCTACTATGGATGGTCATTTATATGTGTACATTTATTTACCTGGTAGAATTTTTTTTATTTAATTTTTTTACTAATGTAACTTGCATATTGCAACAGCTAATTCATGTGGCACAGATACAAATCAAAATGCCAGATATTGACATCACATGAATGTTGTATCGCTACAGATCAAGAGTCATTTGCTCTGTTCACAAGATACTATAGGCTGAATAAATACGGACAGAATTTTGATTTTTGGGTGAACTATCCCTTTAAGTGTATAATTACAGTATCATCATAAGACACCTTAAAATTAAGTGTAACCCTTTATGTGTCTGTGTTACAATGTAAACTGCGTAATATTAATTAACTACATGTACCTACTGTAGGGCTAGGGTAGGATTAGGATTTGGTTGAAGGTTAGTTGCATGTAATTATGCATAATTTATTGTTATTGCTATGGTAAACATTATGTAACAAGGACAATGTAAAATAAAGTGTTACCGCTTTTTTGGTTTAGCAATCAGTAGTTTAGTAAACACATACCCTGCCCTCCTTCTTATGTAATTTCCTCTTCTCATATATAGTACATCTGCACATCATTGACTGAAAAGCATCCCTTTACTTTGTCAACTCCATTGTTCTTGTCTTTGCTTTATCGACTGTTTTATTTCACTGTGAAAATACAATCTTTAGGTTTGTTTGCTCTGTGCGCTCTGGATAAACTTGGCCCAGAAATTGAAATAAGTGTTTCTCGAAGATCACTTTGAAGTGAGACGAGGTGGGGGAGAGGGAGATCTGTCGATGTGAGATTTTTCTTCATACAATTTCCCAGCGCTCATAAAATGAGACTGATTAGTTCAACAGCTGTACACAAACTCCGTCCAGGTAAAATATTTAGCTCAAAGTTTAAACCTCAGAAATGTGTTAACAATTACCCATGTAACTAGTGTGATCTGGCCCTATGGTTAGACCCACCAAACCGCCTCTTTTCCTCCCTGCCACTCAATCAACGTCGGCAGCTACAACAAACAGCCTCGGGCCCAGGTGAAGTGCTCAATATGACTAATATGAGTATAACTTTGCTTGGCTGAGGGCTATTTTCATCTCCCCACAAAGACTTATTGTTCCCATCATCCTTGAAGATGTCTACCAGTGACTTTTCTCTTCTTATTCACCTGCTGATGGACTTCCTGACTTTCACCAGCATCCCACATTGATGCGAAAAACTCTAGACTGTTGATTTATGAGATTGTCCTGCTCTTTCTGGCATTAGTAAGGTGTTTTCTTTTTAGAATTATTCATATGTGTTATTCATTTTTAGAGATTTTTTTTAATCACTCTTTTTATTTTCTTTATACACCCTTCTATTTCATAAATTCAGTATTTATCCAGAATTCATTATTATTTGAATGCGATTGGGGCTTTTTAGGTGCACACAGTAATAACAGGTTACCGATTAACCGATGACATTTATTGTAGATTAACTGATATTGGAGCATGCGAGAGTGAGAACAAAGGAAGACCCAAACAATCAGACTGTTTGTGTGGGTTTGTTGGGGGTTGATGCACAAAGAAAACTAATCAAGCAAAGGTCAACTAGGAGACATCCTGTGTATCCTCATGGGAACTGAAACCTTTTCGTTCCCTCTTTCTATGGTCCTTTCATTCTGTGGCCCACTCTGGCCAAACTTGTTTTGTTCTGTTTTAGCCATAAGTCAGTGGCAGTCATGTTTGATTTGAAGCCTCCAGCTCTGTATTGATCTGACAAGTGACTTCAGTGCGAACAAATTGCCTCCAGCAATCATTTACTGCCAGGCTTCCAAGTTATTATCTTTCAAAACGTGCCATTTAATCCCCCCTTTTACTATTAAAACAAGATTCCAAACATAGTTTAATAGCTTATGTAATATTAAATAGTTTCAATAGTTTTTGAAGACAATTTGACACCTACTTCATGCATATGCCCAGTTTGTTTTGGATGTCATACATGGAGATTTACTCACTCTGATTTTAGTCAATGTGGTGATTTGTTCTAGTTATTCATTTGCATTTGTCCATTCCTCCATGCACAATGCAAAAATCCTATTCTTAAAGGAGTATGGGCTCTATGCACGGCGTTATTTCCGGTGAAGGATTAAGGATGCTCGATAACTTCCGCCGATCATAGAGTCCAATGCAATACCGAGAGTTTATATTGAATTTTATACTCCATGGTTATAATAAAGAAACGTTAGTCACAAAAACAGATAAAACAGACACCCCTCGTTGTGTTTATGCTTCTTTTTAAAATTATATTAAATAAACATAACTATATATAAAATTACATCTAAACGTATGTACGTTTCGTTTCAAAGACGGGAGGACAGTAAATATTGAAGACTGCCATAATCCCGTTTTCTCCGGTTTTCCTCCGCTTTAATCTACACAACCGGAAATGGACGAGCATCCTTACGTCAAATGCGGAACTTATGCGTGCATATAGCCCATTGTCTTATTTTCCAGTTAAAGTATCTAATAATCTTTAAAAGAAGATCAGTTTAGCTGTAAAGCAACACTGTGTACAATATTAAGACTTTTATTTTCAATGTAATTGGATTTTATCTAATCGATTCCAAGTCTTAAAATCTCATGCATCGTTGCTTCTCAAATAATTTGATCTTGTTTTAACGATTTTGAAATATTTTTACTTGAAAACAAGTTAATTCATTTTTTATTTTGCTTTTTATTGAGGCAGTTTGTCCTGGGCTGGGCTACATTTTCAATTAATTTATTGTTCCTGAATACAGATGCAGATGCTTTCACAGTCTAGTGGTTTCACAGTCCGACGTGTCCCTGGCCCGAGGGGAAATACAGTTTTCTTTCGATCAGATCTGGCTTTCAAACCATCCAAAACTCCTGGCGTCCCCACACAAACATATGCAGTTGAGAAATATGCAATTCCTTGTTTGTTCTCAGGAGAAAATGAGCTCAAAGAGAGAATTCAGAAAATTCTGCCTCGTAAATCACAGTAGTTACCCAAGTTGGCATTTTTATCTTGCCGTGGTGTGTGTTGACTGGCATACCTGATCTCATTGTTAAGCCTGATTACTTCTCTGTACACACAGGCGGACTCGACAAACACTGGACATTCGTCTTTGTTTTGAGGTGTTGACTTAGGCTTGAGAGAGGGCAGATACGCATGTTTTAGGTGTAAGAGTGTGTTTACCCACCCCTCTTAGAGCAGGGTAATGGATTGTTGTTCCAGATGTTATGATGTGCTTCTGTGTCTTTGACACTTCCATTGTTGTGCAAGTATTACAGACCTACCAGCATCCAACCTGCTACATCTAATTGAATAATGCAAATAATTGACAACAGACTTCATTATCAATTTATTATAGGGTCTTTGCACGCCACACACAGAAACTCTGTCTGTACACTCTTACAAAATAAAGGTTTATTGGTATCGATGAGTCCACAAACATCCATGGAACTTCTCCATTCCACAAAAGTTTCTTCATAGTGGAAAAGGCTTCTTTAGATGATTAAAATGTTCACACGAAGAAAAAACGTGGTTCTTTTGTACCAAGTACGGTAGTGTATTGTCTTTTTAAAGTAGTAAAGAATCCATTTCTATGGTAAAACATGGCATTTCTATGGAGTTTTCCCCTGTTGATGTTAAAAATTCGATTTAATTTTTGCAACAAGGCACTTCCTTTGCAGCAATTGCGCATCAAACGCAGTGCAGCAGAAAGAAAGGAACAATAATGTTGATAATTTGTTGTTGGACATTAAATTTCATTGTAATTGAAAAGGAGGATGTAAAGCAAATAATAGTATTTTATGAATATAATAACTTGAGTGAATGTCAACCTGCCGCTGACTTTGGGGACAGCTGCTAGCTAGTGAGCACCATCATAGACCCATGAATTATTGAGGCCACAGATTTGAGCCTGGAAGGATCTGCTGTGCTTCCTGTTGCCCTTCTCCTGAGAGGTCCTCGTAAGGGGGCGAGGAGGCTTTCGGCACGTCAGCCGCCTCTCGACTCCATGCTGGTGCTTTTACTTATCTCCTCCCTTCAGATGAAAAGGAAGTGAGAAGGAACTGGCGTTTCAAAAAAGGGAAACAGTCCCCACATCTGGAAGCTCTTTTGGTCCCTTTTCGCTGCCTCTTTCGCTTCAGATCCTCCAGCTCTTGGTCTGGAAGGAGTTAGCGGGGGTGTGCATTGTGAAACTAGCTGTTGAAAAGGTACCCCAGAAAGATTTACTTTGGAGACTCGTGCTCCACCTCAGTGCACTCGCCCTCCCCCAACGCCCCACGGCCCTTGCTTGCTATCTCAATGGCCCAATGTTGGGCAGCTTGAACTTCCATTAATGGCTATTGCTTTCAGATGCTCATTTTCATAGAGTTGTTCACCTGAGCTTAGCCTCTTTAGCCATTCATTAAAACCTCCACTGCATCTTCAATTGTTAGGGCTGTCAAACTTAATAGCCACAATTTAACTCTGTCTTCCTGATTGTTTCCAACCTTGGTTGATTTATTCTCATCAGGTTCCTGATTCAGCTACTTCTTACTATTACACTTTTAAAAAAACAAACAATATGCATTTCATTTAAATTATTGTTTCGTTTTGAATATTTGTTTGCATTTTTTTAAATATCTTGAAGGATTAGTTCACTTCTGTCATCGTTTACTCATCCTCAATTTGTTTCAAACCTGTTGAATTTCTCTTTTCTGCTGAACATACAAACAGTAGTTGGACCCCATTGATTTGCATATTATAATTTTTTTCCTACTATGGGCCCATCAACTGTCTGGCTACCGACATTTTTCAAAACATATTCCTATGTGTTCTGCTGAAATATTAATTCAATTTGCCTCGATTGCAATGTATCTTAAAATATATAATTTATTCCTAATTCATTCTCAGCATCATTACTCCAGTCTTCAGTGCCACCTGATCCTTCATATATCATTCTAATATGCATTTTGTAACATTCCTTATTATCAGTGTTAAACATTTTTTGAGTGGTACTTTTTGGATTTTTTTGAACAGAAAATAAAAAAAACAGCTTTTTTTTTTTTTTTTTTTTTGAAATCGTTTGACTTAAGAAATGTATTTACTGCAACTTTAGGTCAATTCACCACATCCTTTCTGTTTAAACTCTTGCAGAAAGCAACTGACCCTAAACTTTTGAACAGTGGTGTACGTTTTTATTCATTTAATATGTGTTTAATTTAAACTGTAACAACACGAACATTTTGAAATGAATGAAAATATGATATTAATTAAATAAACTATCTGTGAAACACAAAAGAAGATTCACCAGGAACGAAATTGGGCTTCCATTGTGTTAATCCTACACATTGGCCTGGCTTCATTTCCTTACCACAGAGCGGCTGACCCGGTCATGACTCGTGGAACCTTCCTTTATCTGTCACTGGCCAATTTACATTGGGGGATTGAGGAAGGAGTCCAGTTTCAAAGTCAGTCAAGTCTCCTTTCACAAGGGCTCATCAGATAGCTCTGTCATATTGACGTTTTTTTATTCCTTTATGACTTGTTTTGCAAACCCAGTAAAAAGTAGAATAGTCATAACAGCAACCTTGTAGTTGTGTCACCCTACAGGCACGACAAGAATGACAATTGCTAGATTTTTTGGCGTCTGGATGACACTGGGGTGAGACATTGTCACAGAGCAGGAAATTCCTCTGTTCAAGCTTTTAGCACGTGTGGAATGTTTGACGAAGCAGAACCGAGGCTTTCAGAAACGTAAGACCTTTTAGCGTGGCTCTCAGAACACTGCGATGGACTAAGTGTTTTAAGAGCTGCATTGATGTGGATCACTAAGCAATTCTCCCCCAGGGAACATACATCCCACTTCAGGTGGGAGCTGTTGAAAAATCAAGACGCTAGTTTTCCTCTTTGCAGTATATCTAAGATTATAATCTAACAATAATCTAAGACCGTTTGCAGTATAATTCTCATTACTGTGTTCTTCCGCACCGGTCACGCATTGAAGACTCTTGTGACCTGTTTAGCTAACTGATTTAAATCTCTCTGGCGTAAGACATTGTGATAAAAATCACTCTGGAAACATAGATAGTAAACATTTTGTGTGCATATAGCATGCCTTGATATCGCGGGGAAAGTTAAAATGTGGTATAAAATCAGCAGGTTTTAAATATTTTTTCTTGAACAGTTTCAGATCTAAAGATCGTGGAGGCTTAAGTATAAAGTTTATAGTTCAGGTGGTCGACTTTCCTAGTATCTGAAGTAATGAGTTTTGTGGCTTGGTGAATTTTAATTGTCTGATCGCATGAAAGGCTGTGGAAAAAGATGTGGAGTGCCAGATGACAGAATCTCACTTTCTTTTTTTCCCTATGTTTTGGGTGCGTTTCTTGATTTCAGGCCGCTCTCGTATCCAGCGGTTGGCTGAAAACACAGTCTATTTCCGTAGGAGACTGCGGGAGATGGGTTTCATCATCTATGGCAACAATGACTCACCTGTGGTACCCATGATGCTCTACATGCCCGCCAAAATCGGGTTAGTCTTTTCCTCTCTCAGTATAATCATATATACTATTAAAGGAATAAATAGTTCACAAAACAATCCTTTACACTCACGTCGTTCCAAACCCATATGTTGGTATTTTGTTCAAAGGAACCCAAAAGGAGAAATTTTGAATCATTTCCAACTGCCAGTACATATTAAATAGCTTTTAAAAAGCTCATAAAATATACTATACAACTTATAAAACGTATGCACTGTATTCCAAGTCTTTTAAAGCCTCATGATAGCTTTGTGTGATGAACTAGCCAAAAGTGAAGTATTATTAAATGTGAAAGTCAATTATTAGAATTTCAGTCTCTTCCGCAGTCTTCCAAAGACTTGTATAGTGTATGGTGTTCATCCATTTCATCATTCATACTTTGAATTTCAAGGTTATTTTAGTATCATATACTATTATATTATGTATTAATTGGGGCTGTTAAACGATTAATCGCGATTAATCGCATCCGAAATAAAAGTTTGTGTTTACATAATTTATGTGGGCGCACTGTGTATAATTATTTTATATATATATATAAATACACACACATGCTTGTATATATTTAAGAAATATTTTCATGTATATGCTATATATAATTTATATGATCTGTAAATATAAATATTTTATATATAAATAATAATAATAATATTTTTTTCTTAAATATACATACATGTGTGTGTGTGTATATATATATATATATATATATATATATATATATATATATATATTAAAAAATTAACCGCGATTAATCACATCCAAAATAAAAGTTTGTGTTTACATAATATATGTGGGTGCACTGTGTATAATTATTATATATATATATATATATATATATACACACACGCATGCTTGTATATATTTAAGAAATATTTTCATGTATATAGATTTATATATAATTTATATAATTTGTAAATAGTATAAATATTTTAGACATATGCATGTATATTTAAGAAAAAAATATTATTTATGTGTGTGTGTGTGTGTATATATATATATATATATATATACAAAATAATTATACACAGTGCACCCACACATATTATGTAAACACAAACTTTTATTTTGGATGCGATTAATTGCGATTAATCGTTTGACAGCCCTAGTATTAATATTTGATTCATTATGTAATTTTAGTACTTCAATTTTATTTATTTCAGTAGGTTTCCAAGGCAAATTTTCTAGTTTAAGTTTATATTCATTTATATTTTATTTTATCTTTATTTGCATTTCCAAAAAAATAAATAAATAACAGTCTACTGGTTAAAATGACGTGAGTGAATATCAGGTCTATAAATGTCCAAATGAAACCAAATGTATAATACACTCGTAATCGATTCATAATAGTCCCTCATAATAGAATAAAAACAGGGGAAAGCTTAGTTTGGAAAGAACTTCTCGAAAATTGATGAGGCCGTGTGTGTGTGTGTTTCCAGGGCGTTTGGTCGGGAGATGTTGAAGAGAAACATTGGAGTAGTGGTGGTGGGCTTCCCAGCCACACCGATCATAGAGTCCAGAGCCCGCTTCTGTATCTCTGCGGCCCACTCCATGGAAATGCTGGACAGGGTAACTACTCATTTTCTCGCCACAGTGAATACATCCAATAATTTAGTTTACTTCAAAGCAGCATTGTACCCATTTTTACTGGCCTTTGTTTCTCATGCCATAAATTTTGGTGTTTACAATGGAATATGTTGACTTAATGGAAAAAAAACTGAGCTTTTGATGACATACTGATGTTAAAGTCAAAGTACAGAGCCCCATACGGTGAGTTTGGTTGAAATGTGCTTTGCATTTCAAAAAAGATGGATGAAAGGATGACTTTCAACAGGAATTAGACCAGAAGTGTCTGTAAGACTCTGTATGTCAAGTTCAAACCCCTGTCCATCAATCTTCTGAAATGAAGTATCTCAAACTTGATACACCCTTTATGTTTGAAAATAATCACTGTCGAAAGAATTCCAGGCTCCTCCTCAAAGTGTCCTGTGCTATAAATTAACGCAGGTCTCGACGGAGGCGGTTTACATAAGCAGCGCCTGCCACAGGGGTCTGCACTGGCAGGAGATCAAAGAGCATCTTAATCTGCCTCCCCAAGGACACTTTGATTTAACTATGGTGAAAAGCACACAGGCCGTCAGCCCCCTTCCCCGTGCTTAAGAAAACACCATGTACTTTGATGTGACCGGTTATCACGTCAACACATTTTTAAGTGTCCTTCTGACATGTTTTCTTGCATTTCTTCTATTGCTGAATAACTAAGATTGAAGTGAATGAAGTGCATAACAAAAGTTTGAAGGTTTTAGGGATGGGCATTTTTAAAGGAAAAATTGTGATAAAATATTTGATTGCCTTTTGGTGATATTTAGTATCTTGATTTATGTATTTGTCCTTTATTCTTTTATTTTATATTTTCTACTTTTTTTTATTAGATTAACCAATATTTCAAGCAAACAGACATTTTTGGCAAGTATTTTAACAATTTTAATGCAAGTATTTAAAATTTTGTAAAAACTAAAATAAAATTAGTAATTTAGATTAAAGATATGTTCAGTTTTTGACTAAATGAACACCGAAGAATATTTCAATTAAAAAAATTCAAATATTAGTATTCATTTGTTTTATTGATATTCACCAAAATTAGGTGTACCAACAATTTTGCTGTAATATACAGTGTTGAGGTAATGCAAGTTACGTAATCAGATTACTTAGCCTGCGCTGTTGCCTGCCGTTCTGAAAGACACTCTGCTAAGTCCACCCAGTTGCTTAAGGAACATTGGTTCATCAGATTGGTGACGGTATGGTGAAGAAATGAGTCCCACTAAAGAGATGGGTCCCAGCTTTGGACCCCATTAGTATGCCTGATTCAAATTTGCTCTTGCAATTGTTGCTAACGTGAGCTGTTTTTGGCGTTATGTGTAGCTTGAATGCTAAATCCCGCTGTTATGTGCAAGATAAGATTAAAAGACAAAAGCAGTCTTATATTTCTTTGAAAATGAACAGGTTTCCTTAATAATTCCCTTTTATGATGTTTCATAGTAACTTGAACTAGAAATAATGCAACCAGCATCTCCACCACCACTATATTATAACAAACTTTTAAAGCACTGCATGGTAGGTGGCAGCTGTTCCTCAGCATTAGCATGTTATGACTTACACGTGTAACCATGAAAGTAATGAGGCATGTTGATTGTTTTCAGGCGCTGGATGTGATCAGTGAAGTAGGCGATCTGCTGCAGCTGAAGTATTCACGGCATAAAGTTCTTCCCTCATTGGACCGGCCCTTTGACGAGACCACATACGAGGAGAACGAAGAGTGACATACTTTCTATCTGAACCAAATGTGCACTGCTCATCTTCTGCTCTTCGAAAGGAGGCAGTGAACCACTTAATAAATATAACCTTTTTTAAACGTAGGTATATCATCTTTATTTTAAAACTCTGAACAACACACTGATGCTTTTAGAAAAAAAGAAATGCACCTCAGTATCATTTTGATGTGAGGTTTCGTGTCTGTTTTTAACTCATTGTGGCATTCGTTTAGAGAAATAAATACTTCGATTTTTCAGGCCAGCCACACTGAAGCCATATGTCAAAGCCCTGAAACCTATTTTTGTGTGCAAAAAACCATTCAGAGCATTTTCTTCCCCTCCAGTAAGTGCGAACAGACAGGCAGCGACCCATAATTCAGAGGATCTTGACCTATGAAAGGAATTACAGGTTCTTCTTATTGCATTGTCAGTACATTCACTGGGTTACCTTAATCAAACTCCAAAAGCTCCACAACCTGGCTCCCGAGATGTTGTTTTCTCCACGGATTTTGACTTGCGGCCAGCTCCGGTGTCTTGCTTCAATCTGGATATCGTTTTTCTTGTGTTACCGGGATATTTATTTTTTCATCAAGATACAAATCGCGGAGGGCGATGTTGGTTATGTCTGAGGGAAGATTAGTTAGAAACCTGCATATTTATCAAATTTTCACCTCTGAGCAAACTTGGATGCTGATTATATGCATTATCGCCAAAGTTTCAGCTCAAGTTGTACGGTAGGATTCCAAAATCTAATAGGAAGTATAACTTTAAATGCATATTGGTTTATTTTTGATCAATATGCAATACTTTGATAACCATTTTAATGGTGACTTTTAAGTTCAATGCCATGAATCACTAATAATATTGCTCTCTATCAAGAGAGTTTACTCTAGTTTTATAAGCTTCCCTCAGTAATGACTGAAGTTCATTGTCTTATGATTTGCAAAGTCTTAACACTTTTCAGTTTTTGTTGTACGTGTTTCTCAAATGTACATATTTATTTATTATTCATGCTTCATATCTTTTATTGTTGTGGAAGTGTACTTTAATCATCAACTGCAGCTCCAGATGCCTCTCGTTTGCACATGCTCTCAGTGCACATACTACTGATGAGTATTTTTATATCATTTTGTTGTTCCCAGCAAAGCATGTGGGATGTAATAATCACAGAATCGGCTGGTTTATGAAGCTTTAAAGGTGCTGAACTCTACACTCTTTTCTGTTTTGTGGCTTCTGTTGCTTTGGGTCTTGTGAGTTCATATGTTTCCCCATGTTTAGCACAAGCCTTTTATGACATCAAAAACCAGGGATATTTCTTTTTATCATAACCTTATATATATTGTGAGATGTTTAAAAAAAGCAAAGGATGGGAACAATCTTTTTTGTCTTGATATTATAAACACTGGCATTTAAGAAAGTGATGATTGATCCGACTGATCCAAAGACTTCTAGTTCTGAAAAAACACATGATTTACCAGTACATTCAATGTAATAGGTTGCCATTTGGATTATTTCTGCCTGTAGTACATACTGTTTTTAAGACCTACTTTTGAATCAAAGTACACTGTGGGCTTCATCAGTTCAGGAGTTGTTTTACTAAGGAAATTAAATTACATTGACTAAATGTATTGTTAAGGTCTTTTGTTTCTTTTTCTCACTTTGCAATTTTGGACATATCCTGACTCATTCAGAATTGAATTATATCCGTAATCCAGTGGCTGCTAGATTACAAGTGTGATATTGAATTATTATCCCTGAGGTCTCCATATCAATGAACACATTAGAGAAAACACACTGTACGATTCTTGGAATTGAAGGTTTTACACAACTCTGCTTTACTTTGATTTACAACTTTTATATATATATATATATATATATATATATGCTACCATTCAAAAGTTTGATGTTTGAACAGTTAAAAAAAATATTTTATTATATTTTAAAATGTAATGTATTTTCAGCATTATTACTCCAGTCTTCAGTGTCTCATGATCCTTCAGAAATTATTCTATAGGCTACAGATTTGGTGCTTAAGAAACATTTCTTGTTATCGTCAGTGTTGAAAACAGTTGTCCTGCATAATATTTGTGTGGGAACTGATATATTTTTCATGAGTAGAAAGTTCAAAAGAACAGCATGTATTTAAAATTGAAATCTTTTGTTACGTTACTTCACTGTTTACTCTCAGTTTTGATCAATTTAATGCACCCTAACTGTAAAACATATTATGATCAATAAGTTATGACGACGAATGCTTTTACATTGCTTTTACTCGTCAAGTTAAGTTAAGGTAAAGTCAGTTTAATGTAATTTTAGTTGAAATGACTTAACATTCAAGTTAACTGTACTTAATTTAAGGCAGTAAATTCCTTTTTTTTCTTCTTCTTCTTCTTTTTTTTTTTTTTTTTTTTTTTTTTACAGTCACAATGTGGACGATCTGCCAAATGCTCTAGTTGTTGATATGTAGTTGCAATTTGGAAGTTATTTATAGTCAGAAGAATGTTCAAAAGTTGTTGTTTTTTATATGTTATTTTTATATATACTGACCACACACACTTTTGAATTATACATAATATGAACCAAACATGATGTCTTAGGTAACGGGTCTCATGAGGATTTTATACCCCACGCATGCTTCATTCATTCAGTCAGTCACAGTGGGGTTATATGAACCCCTCCTCCAGAGACGTCACACAAGCGGAGGTAGATGAATGTCTCATCCAGCCAACTGAAGGTCCTTTACCACAGTACCTGCATGAGGTGTAGACTTCTGTGTGCACCATAGAGCATCATAGACCTACATTCACGGGTGGCGAGGATTGATGTTCTTTGCGCCTTAGCTTCAGTTGTTCAGTGCGCTCCGCGAGACGCCTGATTGAGGAGCTATCCAACGCAGAATCACACTTAAACAAGACTGTTCTTCATACATATACACTGGATAGAGGCGAACTCACTACACATGGAAGATAATCCGAAGAACTCCGAGAGGAATGCTGAAGTTTGGGAACTTCTGAAATGCGTTTGGAAACCACGAACCTCTCAGAGTCTGGGGATCTGAGGGACACGCGGACATGACTCTTGAAGGCTGTTTTGTTGCTCACTGAGAATCTGTTGAGCATGTTTAATGTCTTTCTGACGTTTTAAATGGATTGGTTTCCTATGAGGGATGGAAAGAGACACAAATGCACCTTGGAACTGAAGAGGATGGAGTGCAGTTCATAGTAACATATCAAAAGTGGTGCATTGCAAAACATTGTAAAAACTCTTTATTAATATTTTTACGAAGTCATGCTGATTCGAAGCCAAGCTCTACGGTGGGCCGTTTTTTTGACACTTTGTCTTCTCTTGGTGAAGGGCTTCCCTGCAAAAGGACGCAAAGCAAATCACATCAAGAGCAAGAGTGCTACATCTTTAGAGGTATGGTTTCAATGACTGGCACTTAAAAAATGTTATTAGTCAAGTTTTTAAGATTTTTTTAGCATTTAATTTTACAGTAATAGCAGAGTTGATCCATTTTTAAATGAATTGCTTTATCACAACTTAAAAAAAATACTAAATAATAATAATAAACAAATATATATATATATATATATATATATATATATATATATAGTCTATTAATTTCAGTTTAGATCCAAGATCAAATTTGCTTCATGGATGGTTTTTAATCCCATTAGCACTTATTGTACATTTTAAAAGAAGCTATAGTTACATGAGATCAAATTAACTTAAATGACATTTGAATCTTATTCAACATATGATGGTTTTAGATCATATTATGAAGGAATAATTATTACCCCCTGGTTTCACAGACAATGCTTAAATTTAGTCCTATGTTTGAGCTGGTTAAACGGAAAGATATCTTATATGTGTTAGTGCCACTGTTTTATCACTGTTTTAAGATGCACACCAGTAATGTTTTTAAGGCAGGTTTATAAAAGCTACTTAAATGTCCTAACTGAACTAATCCTGGCTTAATCTAAACCATGTCTGTGGAACCAGACCTTAATGTTCCAGATTATGGCCATCTTGGTCAGAGATGTTCTGCAAATCAAATCAAATCACATAAACTGTCTGTGAAATCTTTTGTCACCAGATTAGGTATTTCAACCAATAAGGAAGACCTAGATGTCAAACAGGGTAAAATGTCAGAACAGTGATTGATATTTGCTGTGACAACTAGCCCCAGTCTCTTCCACTATGCTTCAAAACTCAATGAATTTAAAGGAGCTTTCATAGAGCATCAGGTGTCAAATAGGTATAAATCTTTTTATTACATCATATCATATCATATCATATATCCAGAAATAACCAGAATAAAGTTTACTATGGGTCAAACCACACTGAAAATGCAGTTTCCATAGTTAATGTGTGCTTAATGCCTGGAATGGCGGGGTAGTTAATTTTCTCCATCTGTTAAATGATAAACCACAGTTCATAGGTTGTTTTATTTAATTCATTAATTTCTCCTTCAGCAACAAAGTGAGGTCACACTGAGTCCTGGGTTATGCTGTGACTTTTTTTTCATGGATCAACTTTATTGAGTGTTAACGCAGAGAGGAAATGCAAGCCCACCCCAGGCTGCGTTTTAATAGTCATTTCCCCTCTGAAAAGAATTTTGAACATAAGTCCACTATCCTAGATGTAAAACCAAGGCCCCTCTTACATGTGCATGTGAATCGATCAATATAGCAGATACTCGATGCGCAACCTGAGCGGGGGGTTAAGAACACATCTTGGTCAAGGGTGCGAAGATCTGACAGAAAGCAGAACAGTATGCGGCGGTACTCGGGTGATACAAGACTGTCTTTGTGCACCGTCTGAAAACATCACGTCTCCCCCACCTTTTAAGCCAACTGGGAAATATGTTTTTATTAAAGTAGCCACCAGGGTTCAGCCATTGTTTCCCCTGCGCAACAGGAAGTCTTTGCTTTACACAAAAATGGACACTTACTAATCAAAACAGCCAGCTGGAATCCAATACGCCACGCTCTTATAAAATTGCATAGGGTCGGATAGGAGTTCAGTGGCCTTGGTGCTATAATGGATAAGCCCAATAATCACTGGGCTGTTCCTCTCCTAGACCCAAGCAGACACCAATTCCACAAATGGCGCCAAATTCTTGAGCCCCGCTCAGAAGTTCATGTTGCCGTTTCTTAGCATTGTGCTGGATGACTCGGGCGCGGAAACCTCTCAAATGTCCAGTGCTCTAATTGAGGTTAAGCTGAAACTGTAAACCATAATCTGTTTGAAAGTATATAGCGAATGCCCTGGTATAGATGCTGTGAAAGCTATATTCAGAATTTAATGAAGAAACACCAGATAATATTTCACAAAAACCACCAGAACAGACACACATCAGCTTGAATGTAGAAATAGATTTAATAACGTGCCTGCATGTTGCTGAGTACAACTATTTTTTAGATCTTGGCCCTACAAAACATGTTGTGCAGCACCGAGATCTGATTATAAACATCTGAAGCTCGTAAAAGAGCAGATATATATCCAATTCACTTCTTTCTTTCTTTTTTTCTTTTCAATTTATAATATTATCAATGTGTACAGTACCGCTGGTACATTTGGTACCAGCTGGTAATCGAGTGTCAGCAGGAATGCGATTTCTCTGAAGGATAGATGACATTAATGAACAGTTTTTGACACAAGGCATTTGAGAGAAGCCAGACATGGATCTGTGTGGGATATACTGTATCCATCAGGGCATTATATCCTTGAGTTTCACTTGCTGGGGAGTTGTATGGAATCCTATTTCCGCCATTGAAAAAAACAATCCAGGTAAATGTAAGAAATAAAACAACAAGAAATAATATCACAATCGTATATAGCATAAAGTTGAAATTGTAAACTGCGAAAAAGTTGCGATTACAAGAAATGAACTCACAAATGGAAGATATGAAGTCGCAATCATGAAAAAAAAGATGCAATATGAGATATAAAGTGGCAATTTCAGGAAATAAAGTGAGCCACAGTTACCTTTTTATTTTTTCACACTGAGGAAGAAATGAGCTTCCATAGTTTTAACTGCATGACATGTCAGCAAGGAATAAGGACTTGAAAAACGTGATTTTACTTCTCTTTTTTTTTTGGAAGAGAATAATCAAATCCATCCATTTTATTGAATTATGAACAAGCCGCTCAGTTTTCCGTCACTAATGCGTCCCATTTGCTCTCTTTCTAGGCGGTCAGAGGTAATACTTTGTGAGGGTGTTGGGGAAATCAGACTCTAAATGTTTCAAGTGCTTTGGGACTCCGTTGCCTCTCCAGCTTCAGTACCCTGATGCCCTGCCCTTGTTGTAGTGGCACCTTGGCTCCAGCACATTCAGCTCAAAGCAGCCTGAGACCATGTGTGTGTGTGGTATTTGTTTTGGCAGGGGCGTATTGGTTTATTCTTTTAGGTCTCAGCGCCCGTCCAGATGGCACGTCCCATAAAACGCAAAAACTGTTTGTGAGAGGAGATAACACATGGTACACTGATGCTGTTAAGGCATGCCAAGAGAATCAGATTGTAACATGGCGGTATGCTGGAAGAAAAAAACATAGCGAAAGAACAACTTAAAGGCATGAGGACAAGGATGGTCTCTTTCAGGATCTGGGTAGGATTCCATCCTTACCATGTCACTCTGCTCGTGAGTGGCCTTGCTGTCTTGCCTTCTCTGTTTCTGTTGGCCCACTTTGTGAAGAGTCAGGAATTCTGCCTTCAGGGACTTCTGTTCAAGTCAGTTGTTGCGAGCTGAGGAAAGTATTCTTTAAAGTTCCTTTTCTCGTATTAACCTGTAGCACTCATGTGAAATCTTAGCCATCCCTTTCGTCTCAGCTGGTGGGTAAGCAGTTTCACCCATGTGAAGAAAGAGACTAATGCAAACGGCAACGCTGAGTGAGGAGCTTATCTTGGCGTGACTTTTTCTCAGAGGTTTGATTATAGAATGATTGAAGGGAAAGGTATGAAAGATCTTTGGAAGGCCCACAAAGTGAGGAAACTCTTGAGATCCTTCATTGGACTCACTACAGGAAGGCAGAGAAAACTTTGTGGATGGTAACATCCCATTGGTTTTCACACAACTGTAACAAATGGACAGTAGTTCCAAACTGCACTCCAACTTTGCACTTCATAGAGGTTCATTTAGCTGACTCATTTACTCCCAGTGAGTCGCATTGCTGTCTTTTAAATGCCCTTTACGCCTTTAATATTCTGCACAAACGAGATTTTAAAAGAAACAATTCCTGGCAATGGAATGTTCATGCAGATGAACATAACTGTTTTTTGTCGTTCATTGATGCAAACATGCCATAGATTGTAAAAAAAGATGGATGACACCCCTTCGCTCTTTTCCATCAGAGAGAACTGAAGCCGCCAGTGTCCCGATATGGCGCTGACATCTTGGAACTTGAATCTGCGCGCTTGCGTTTTCGGGACCAGACATGCACAGTCGTGAGCAGTAAGTAAAGCCGCGAAATCAAGGCCCCGCCCTCATTCTCGCTGAATCAAACCAACGCATTCTCATCCTTTAACGTCATATAGAACGCTATATGACAAAACGGCGCTATACTACGCACATGGCACCCGTTATCGTTAATATAACACGTGCTGTGAGGGCTAAGTTTAGGTGTGGGGTAGGGTGTGCGTGTCATATTCACGCTAAAGGATTTATAACGTCTTGGGTTCGCGTGTTATATTAACGATAAAGGGTGCCATGTGCGTAGTATAGCGCCGTTTTGTCATATAGCGTTCTATATGACGTTAAAGGATGAGAACGGGCTGATCAAACGCAACCACACGCCCAGCACTTTTCTTAAGTGGCCTCTGTGTTCTTTGTTCCTCTCCAGTGATGTCTGCTGATTGCAGTACCTCGTTAAAATAAGGTAAATACAACTACCGACCACATAGTCAAAATTATGAAAACAAGTCCGCTGGTGCTTCAGTGACTACTTCACACAGAGAACCTGTCAATCACAGCTGTCAATCATGATGTCAGAACACCGTTTTTATAGCATCAAATAATAAACTTAATTTAAAAACAAACACTTGAAATTACATCAACGTGATAGAAACTACAGTAAATGACAGAAACTATCTTTGGAAAAAGGATATGTGAAGTGTAATTTAATTGTTTAGTTGGTCTCGCGTCCCGTTGAATAACATGGGGAGGTGGCGTTTATGAACTATACTAGGACCAGCCACTAGGGGGTGATGGAGATGTTTTGGCTTCACTTTTAAGGGCTTGTGCGGCACGTTTGAAACATGCCAACAAAAAAAGATTTGAGTTTTGGGTGTCATGTTCGACGCCCCTGCAGTTAGGTATATCAGTATATGATATATCATTATGAATATCAGCCAGTCACATGCAAAATAATTTTAAATGGCACTTTTTCAGTGTACACTACTCACACTTTTTATACTTGAAATGTATGAGGATAGAGCATAAGTACGCAAATTGGGACGCATCCCTTGTTTTGGGTTGGTGCACTGCATAGATCTTCTTCATAGATCTAGGACAAATACATCTACCGCTTCACCCCTACTAAAAACACTATGCACTATCTCAACCGTTTCCGTTTGCTTATCATCTGGTTATTTAAAGAGCATGTTGCCTTTTTGAATTTTCAACACACACACTATTCATACTATTTATACTACAAAATGGCATAGAACTCGTGAACTGGGAGGAAGCTATAGTTCGTGAAGTGAATTTTGAAAAGAAACTCATTAAAAAGAATCAGTTCGTAGTAAGAGCCATTTGTTTGCATCCGACATCATGACTCACGCTGTGTGTGTGTGTGTTTGTTGTTTCAAACAGGAAGAGTACCCACTCACACGTAAATGCATGCAAAGCTTTCTCGACTGTATTGTCACACATTTTATTTTATTATTGAAGCATTTTCACCACTTTATCAAGCCTTGACGGTCGGTAATCCAATTTATCTCACATAATACAGAACAAATCTCAATATAAGATTTGTAATCATAAAATGCTTAGATTTGTTGCTTGTGTGTCAAAAAGTGTGTAAAAAAAATTAAAAGAACTTCACCTCGTGTGATGATGAACTTCAGTATAGCGCCAGGGTGGAGTTTATCGTCTGGGGCAGAGGACATCTGTTTTGCGTGTGGGAGAGACACAAGGCAGTGAAGTGAGACAAGGCAGGCCACGCATGATCAGTAGAGAGAGGCTTTGATCAGACAGACCCCAACTCCCCACCTCTCTCCTCTGCTGCATCAGAAGGGAACATTGGGGCCATCAAACCAAGTCTGTAGATGAGGAAGAGCAGGGATAACACACTAAGGTGATCTTCCAAATCTGTGAGGATTCGAGATGGAGATTTGAAAGAGAATGCTTGCAGTATGATGTGGTCATGATGAGGACATATGTGTCTCTTCCTGAGTTATGCTTGTGTATGTTGCTGTTCTTTTTGAAGTCTGTGGTTGCTTATAGACAGGGCCTCCACAAAAAGTCTTTGAAGCACAGCATGACCCAAAATGTAAAGTCTAAACTGAGCTTCATCTGGTGCTTATTGCATGTTGGAGAATGCATTCAGTTAAAGACAACATGAACATTGACCCCACTTACTAATAACACTTAAATGTGTCTGATCGTATTCTGCACAACTCAGTATGAAGGATGTGTGGGTGGGAAAAAATAATATTAGCAATAATTTTGTATCTGACTTTTAATAATCCACGACCAAGAGTTCCATATTCTGTTCAATCAGTTCTGTTCACTGGTCCAAACCATTTCGTCAACATATAAATGTCATCAATTAAGCAACATAGAAATCACAGATAATTCATATATATAATTATATTGAACAAATTAGAATTGAGTGATAATTAATCAAATTATTCCTTAAAAGTTAACCATTTAAAATGAGTAAAGTTTACACCAAAAAAATTAAACAAAAATATCTGAATAACAGACAGACGTCAAAGACTAATTAAGAACTCTTTACTTTATACAACATTGAAGAAACCTGATGTTAACAAGCAGAATCAATGAAGGAGAAACCTAAAACAAACACCGATCGCCATAATGCCGACTTAAATGTAAGTTGTTGTTTTTTGTAAGTTTTACTCATTTTAAATGGTTTACTTTTAAGGATTTAATTTGAATAATTATTACTCAATTCTAATTTGTTAAATTGAATTAATAATATTGCTTGTAATCAATTTTTTTGATTAGATAAAGCGCATTTTACAGTGTTAATATGTTGACGAAAAATGGATATAAAATATATCTGTGATTTCTATGTCTACACTGCTCAAAAAAATAAAGGGAACACTAAAATAACACATCATAGATCTGAATGAATGAAATAATCTTATTAAATACTTTTTTCTTGTTTTTACTTTTTAAGTGTTGTTTAAGTGTTCCCTTTATTTTTTTGAGCAGTATATTTCACATACATACTTAGTTATTATTTGATCATTTTTACATTAAGTAGAGGTCAGTTTTGATTTCATACTTAATTTATGAATAATGATTAGTTGATTTATGATTTCATATTTTCTTTATGAATAATAATTAGGACAATACAGGAACTGATGCAGCTTGAAGAAACGGTGAAAAATCATTACAGATATTTAGATCATTATATTATTTAAATGAATTATCATCTTTAATCAATAACATTTATAACTTAATATTTGCCTCATTCTTGATGCTTGAGACTTTAGATTGATTAGTAACAAGCAGCAAAGTGCATTGGACGACTCTCATGGTTTGAGGACAACTGGGAAGACTTTTTTTGTACCGCCACAGACTTCATGTCTCCATATTAAAGTAAACCAGATGAAAGAGATACATATCCCTTAATGTGTAATCATTTACCTGCATGCACTGTCCTGACTCCTGAGTCTTCGTCCTGGAATTCACAGTCCCTTTCCATCCACTGAGCGCAGCATTACCCTTAATGTCAAACAGCTGTCAAGGGAGTGAGCCATGACTGTCTCAGACTTGTGAGAAAGAATGAGCAAGCGTGCAATTCCTCTTCCTTGTTGATGTTTCTTTGCTGTCTGTTTTGTTATGTTACTAATGGTAACCCAATGGAGCATCGATTGACAGATATGCAGCAAGGAAATCAAAGAACTCGAAGAGTGCTCTTGTATACGAAAAACCTAAAAGTAACGGAAGGAGTCTTCCAAAGGTCTGGGAAACAGGCTTTTCCTGGATCATTAAAGCCGAAGAAGGGTCTTAAATTATTTCCATGATTTCTACTATTCTTGTTCCAAAATCCACCTGATATGCTGTCATGTGTTAGACATTTCACTCCAGATGGCTTTATTTGAAACTCAGACATCTTTTTCATATGGACTATAAGGTCACAGCTGTATAGATTTGATATGGTGTTGAACTAAAACAGATCCTCTAACCATCTTTACGTGCATGACGAAATTTCTAAGAAGCATTTATCCTTGGGCCTCAATTTCTGGGGGCTTTATACATAAAGAAATGATGTGCTTTCATCTAAATAAAGCTTGTCTGATCACCAGATGTTATTTTAATAGGATACTATGTGTGCTCTTCCCAGGTCAGAGGTCACAGCGGCTCCAAAGATGTCAGACAGTCGCTACAGGACATTCAGCGGTGGAACCAACTTAGGAGTGCGCCGCCTTCGCCTCGACGTCATAAGAGGAGATGGTCGCAGATTCGCTCAGAGGGAGTCCTTCCCAAACCTGCTCCACAGGAAGATGAACCCTTCATTTTAGACCTGAAAAACTTTCCCGACCTTGCCAACGCAAACCTGGGCTCCCAAAACCCCAACATTCAAGTAAGAACAAGCCCAATCACACCTTATTGTCATTTTGATTGCCTCAGAGTCAAGTTTCTTCCTGTGTATACATGCTTTTGAAGAAAAAATACAGTGTTTTTAGACTGTTGGACCACAAGAAAATGAATCAAATGAACTGAATTAGTCAGTTCGTGTGTTGGGGATCTTGGGTTTCTTTTGTTGTACGTCTAGAATTTTGGCATTAGTTCTTTTAGAGACAGTTGTTAATACTGTGGCGGTAGTTTGTTATTCCAGATATGTTTAACATCTCACCGTTCCCAAAACCTTGTCATTTCTTTCCTTAGGGTGAACTAAATCATTGTATAATGAGTTGGGTAATGGATTGATTTTACTTGGCAACAGTTTGTGGTGTATGTAATTAACCTATGCACTCATTGTTTCACTGTTATTGCTGCTGTGATTGCAGTAGGGACTTCAGGTTTCTGCGCTGTTGCTGGTCATGTCACAGCTGCTCCTAAACCGGAGAGGCCTCTTAAATTACCCCAAGCGAGACCTTTACACCGGTGTAGCTCATTTCAGCTATTCCGCTCAAACTTCTGCACAGTGTACCAAAAAGAAAATCCAAAAGGTGAAAGGCCATAGTATTATTTTAACAGCCACTTTTAATGCTCTCTCCAAGAGCAGATCCCAATCTTTAAATGCTTTTACAACACCGGTAAAGAAGGGATTTTTTATATTTTTAGGACTGTTATGAAGTTTATGTGTGTAAGTGGACTTGAGAGGAAACGAAGTAAGACTTCAGGGAAAAAATACACAGGAGATCCCTGGTTAGCAAATTGACTTTTATAATAGGGAAAATTCCAGAGTCTTCCAAGTGGGACGGGTCCATCTTCTCTACTTTTTTAGAAAAAGCTATTTTGTTTTTATGTGTCTTTAATATGGCGGCAGCCAATGTAAATGTATGCGAATATTTTGCTTTTAATGCGTCAGTATGCAATGGTCTCTAAAGTACTGAAAACTTTCCTCATGTTATCATATTTTTTAAAACAAATTTCTCAATGACTCCCCATTCATAGTGGTAACAAATCTGATAAGAACTTGATAGACCAATGCAGTGGAGATTCCTTTTGACAGAAAAATCTCCTTTTTTTTACTTCATCGGAATGGTACGGAACTTGGTAAAGGTTTTAACACTTGCGATGTGAACACAAAAAAGTCGATTCGAAAAGATGAAATGGTCATGAAAAAAATAGCCACACTTGTGTTTCTCGCGGTCAAAAATGACCGCATTGGAATTGAATGGGAGATGAATTTCATCTAGTGAAAACTTTTCTTACTGCGGCCAAACAAAATCTTACTGAAAGCTAACTTTTTTGAGATATCAACCTCAATTTAGGTTTAGGGCTTTCATTTTCTTTCAGTTTTAGAGTAAACGTTTTTGAAATTATATATTTCATATACAAATTTAAAGTAGAATTTGTGTGCCCTTTTCATAACAATAAACATAAAATTGTAACTTTTTTAAGTTCACTTTTTAAAGCTATTTTCACTTAATAATCTGCAATAATTGGCCAAGAGTCATCTTTGAAAAGAGATCAAACTTAAGTACGTGCTCCAAAGGATTCAAGATTTACCACAGTTTAAGTTCTCCAAAAGTTAATAAATGAATTATAAATATAGCATAATATAAATTTGTACCATAAAATCCCCTAAAAAAATAAAAATATTTAATAAAAAACATTATCAAACTAAAATATAGTTCATTGAAATAAATAAAAAATTCGGTCATCTTTGTTGCCATTGAACTTAAATTTCCAGTTTAATGGACCTCCAATGATCTAAACCTTGGATCTTTTTGTCCTTAAAAACGTTGTGTTGTGTTTTTTGGAAGTATGAGAGTAGAATACAGTCATGATTAGTTCAAGGAGGAGGTGGAGGCCGACTGTTGTAAACAGGGCAGTTACAGTAGCGTAATCACCCGCTCTAAACTGCTCCGTACCTTTATAAACAGCTGCTGCAGCCATCAGATTGTTGCGCTGTAGGGGAAATAAACAACCAGTCCTTTGTCTCGGCCTGCTGGAACACTTGCTATCGTTTTCCTGGTCTGCCTGGCTCGGGCACTACGAGCCCAAGCATGCAGAGAACAAATCTGTCACCTCAAAACATCCTTCAAAATAAACAAACAGAAGAAAAGGGAAAACTTTGAAATATTTTGAACATATTAACGGTACTCAAGGGGGCGATAGAGTTACCTTCAGATGTGTGTGCCATTAAACGCCATTAAACGTAAATGTCATTCAGGTAAACAATTATTCATTAAAGGATACTCGAAAAAAATTAAAGAGCATAATTGTTTTGGAATATATATATATATATATATATATATATATATATATATATATCAGTGTTGTGCCTGAATGCGTTCATGAACTTGTTCATATTTTCGGCGAACGTGAATTGAACGTAGCCTACTGCATACCGTGTGAACGTGTTGTGAACATACGCTCTCTCAGTTTAACTTCGTATAGGGTGCCAGATTTCTATAGAGCCTTCTCTATAAACAAAAAAACAAAAAACAAAAACAAAACAAATCTTAAATTTCTGTGCAAACTGCCCACAAATAAAATAATTGAAGAGTTCAGATGCAAAAGCCTCTAAGTGCCATTTGAAATCTTTCTTCTAGAATGATAATTTTTATCAAGCTTGTATATTTATGTTCAGTGATTTCACTTAAATGGCAATGATAATTACCTATTAATTGTTATTTAAGTGAAATTACTGAACTTAAATATACAAGTTTGATAAAAATCATCATTAAAGAAAAAAATTTCAAATGGCATTTAGAGGCTTTTGCATCTGAACTCTTCAATTGCTGTCTGTGATTGTGTATGGCTGTGGCAATAATTTTTAAAAAATATAGCTTGCAGCAACATATGGAAAAAAGCGAACTATTCATTTTTTGGAACTGTGAACTTAGTTCCAAATTGTGATGTATGAACTATGAACTGAACTCATTTATTTTAAAATTTGTGAACTGAACTTTGAACTAGTTCATGTAGAAAGTGAACTTTCCCAACACTGATACAATATGTATGTATATAATACAAGATCCTGAGCAAAAAATTATGGAAATAACATAACATTTATTTTCATAACGAGGTGGTGCATCAATAATTGGTCAGGATCTTGCACTGACAATGCAAGAGTCGAGCCCTCTGTAAAGTCTCCTCCAGCACATCCCAAGGGCTTTCAAGGTCTGGACTCAGAGGTGCCAATTCATCTGTGAACATGATTCTTCATGTTCCCTCCCAACCATTCTTTCCCACTTTGAGCCCAATGAATCTTGACATTGTCATCCTGGAATATGGCCATGAAATGTCTTCCTACATGCTTGTTTAAGAAATTAAAAGCTACACACTCCATCATTTAGAGTTAGAAGAACGGTTGCCAAACAAAAACACATGCTAGAAATATAATCACTGCAATAATGATCCAATCTTAACCATTTTCCTTTTTAAATCCAAACAGCGACTTTTTTTTTTTGGCCGGGCAGTATTGCATATTGAATTGAACTAACTTGCTAACTTAAATGTGTCTCCGCTATAGCAATAGTTCACCTGGAGAGAAAAAAAGCATACAGTAGGATATAAAGGAAGACTTAGAGCTTATGGAAGGTTATTTGTTGATCTGACACTGGACCTGGTCAAGCTGGAATTAGCTTGACCCCCTTTAGCTGGGTTCTGTAGAGCAACAACTTTCTCATATCCATATTTTGCAGATCAACATATAACTTTTATCTCTCCAATAGGTTACCATTGAGGTTGTGGACAACCCACAGATGGAGGTTGAGATGGATCTGGCCAAGGAGAGCAGGAATGACTGGTCTTTGAGTTCGGAAGAGTGGCTGGGCCATAAAAAGCTCTTCTGGCCACTGTTCTGGGAATACCATGACTCCAGTCAAGAAGGTCCCGGGCAAGGCAGTCTGGAGGAAAACGAGGGGGACCTCAGCTACGAGGGAGAAGATTCCCTTTTGAGCGGTGTGGGTACAGACTGGAACAGACGATGGAAGGGCTGGGACTCCATGGACAATTACGGTAAGCACAGGAGGTTGTTGACAGAGAGAGTTTGGACGCACATGCCTGTTACTGTGCAAAAAATGAAGAAAAATCTTAATAATTGACCTGAATAAATGTCTTTTCATGTTTTTCCAACTGTGTAATCAGAAACCATGAGTTTTTTAGTTTTTGTTTTTCTTCAGCCTTGTTATCGGAAGTATCAGCGCTTATGCTGGGGCTTTTTGGAACGTATGCCGAGCTGATTTCCTCAGTAATGCGGGCCCCAGCCTCCTCTTTAAGTCTTGACATTATGATTTATGCTTTGAGGGTCGTACTCAAGAACTGCTACATAAACATGTCATTCCTGTCGCCACTTCTAGAGACTTTCTCTCGATGCCTATCAGCAGTAAACAGTGAAAGGCGACCCGGTGCTTTGTGTCCTAATACATTATCACAATATTAGTTGTGGTACGCATGTTATCTGGACCACTCAACTGCTTCTTTGGTGGTTAGGGAGATCATTCCCTCAAAATGTTTACATACGGGGCAAACCGTAGTGCTGAAATACAATTTTAATGCGATTTTTATCCTTAAAAAGCTGAACACAACCTATCATCAAGTGCTCTGAACCTTTTCGTGGTGAAGAAAAAATGACACAGAAAGTATTGAATAAGGGATTGCAGGAGGAAACTCAATGGTACGTCTGGTTCACGTTAGTGACAGTGGGCTTGAGCATCAGCTTTGTGTTTCGTCTTTGAAGTTGACACCAGTGCTGGGAAAATGTAGCTGTTTGAACCTGGGTCCCAATGCATAGGGCTTCTCCACTGGCGAAACAACCAATATTTGCGTTCAATTAAGACAGCCGATTGTAAGAAGGCCCAGCATGCTTAGGCTGTTTTCATCACACGACTGGCGGGTCGCTGCGTTTCACACGGTCTAGCCCTTGAGTTCTCCCAAGAATTTGTGGCAGTTCTCAGGCATTGGAATGAAAGTTTCCTTTTTTTCACACAGAAATTATATTAATTGCCTGAGTATATTGTTAAAGGATTCAGTCACTGTGCTTTTATGTGTGAGATGTTTTAAAAATTGGCAAACAATATCAACTGCTTGGAAGTATAGTACTCCATACTTTTTTTGACATATTTTTAGTGCCTTTAGGTGGCAGCATTAATGATTGAAAAAACGATTTCCAAATAGTGCTTAGCTGCAAACTCACGATATATACTAACATTCACGAGTTTGGGGTCAGTGAAATTTTATTGTAAAGACTTTTAAAGTGTTACGAAAGATTTCTATTTCAAGTAAATGCTGTTCTTTTGAACCATCTTTTCATTAAGAATCCTGAACCATGGTTTCCACTAATACATTAGGCCTACTTTATTATATGAAGTAGCACAACGGTTTTCAAAATTTATAATAATAAGATTTGAGCAGCAAATCAGCATATTGGAATGATTTATCTAGGATCATGTGACACTGAAGACTGGATTAATGATGCTTTACCATAACAGGAATACATTACATTTTGAAATACATTAAAAATAGAACGTCACACTTTTGGATAGGAGTCCAATTCTCACTATAAACTAACCATAACCTATGACTTTTGCCTCAATAACTCCTAATTACCGCTTATTAATAGTAAGTTAGGATGTTTAGGTATAGGGTTGGATTAAGGGATGTAGAATTTGGTCATGCGGAATAATACATTAATATGTGCTTTATAAGTACTAAAAATAGCCAATATCCTAGTAATATGCATTCTAATAAGCAACTTGTTAATAGAATTACTGCTTTATTGTATTTTTGATCAAATAAATGCAGACTTGGTTAGCATAGATACTTCCAAAAACAATACCAATTCTTTTACACACATTTGTGTGTTGTGTACAATTTAGTGATGAAGTTAAGCAACACAGTGTTTTATTATCAACTCTTTAATCTTTGGCACCAAAACCTGTGTTGTTTTTAAATGTATATTAAATATATTATCAGGGAAAACAAAGTTTTAACAGAAAATCTTCAATCACATAGGCCTGGTTTCACAGACAGGGCTTAGATTAAGCCAGAATTAGGTTTACTGGTGTGCTTCTTGAAAAAAAAAAACAATGGCAATGACATATTTTAAGATATTTTACTGCAAGTTGCTTTCAGTTAAAACAGCCCAAACATGCATTTTAGTCTGGGACTAGCTTAAGCCTTGTCTGTGAAACCGGGGTATAAAATCTTATTTGGATTATTAAACTACAACTTGCTGCAGTGTCCGACTCCCCCACAATCTACATACAGTATATCCTTTTACCATATTTATTTCACCAACTCCATTTGTCATTGACTTTCAGGGTGATCCTCCACTAAGGTTGTGTTGCACCATGTTCTGTCAGCATCATTAGAGTGAAAGTGCATTGGTGGTGTGTGGTCAAATCCAACACCCAGCCAAAAAAGAAGCAATTGCTGCATGCTTACTGCGGTCATGTCAGCAGTAGAGCCTCTGAGGATGTGGGTACGAAACCGAAACGGCATCTCTCTGTTGCCCCAGTGGATCTAAAATAGACCTAATGAGTGTACTTGGAGTAGGAGTGTGTTGTGTACAAATAAGCTTGAATGGGAAACTGAGAAGGGAAAATGAGCCACATTATTAATGATGTGGTCTACGCTAGAGGCGTACAGTAATGAAGCGCTTTTCTGCAATTATGGTGAGCCACAGAATTGCAGGCAGGCCATGTTCAGCAATACAGTTATAGCTGTAGGTCGTTTTTTCCTCTCCACTGCCCTTATGAAAATTATTTACCACGGTTTTACTATAGTAACTTATTAAAATGCCTTTGGTATTTTAGTTGAAACAAAGTTCTCTGATAGCAAATGTCTATTCAATGTGTGCGGTCTCAAACTCTTGTGTTGCTAGAATTGGCCAGCTGTTATTGGAAATGAATTGTCTGGTCAAAGCAAAGCAGTGTCATTGTGTGACACAACACATTAACAAAACATATATGATGGGCTGCTATATCGGATTTTACACCGGATGGGGCTATGGATGTCAACTCTTCTTAAATAGAAATTAAGCAACCAACAAAAATGTCCTGATACTCTTGTTGCAGTCACAGCTTATAACTCGGATTTACAACAATTGTTGTTTTATTATGCCTGGCTTGGACACGCCAGCTCACCAAGCCTATGCCTGCTCACCAAGGCTGCATTTATTTGAGCAAAAATACAGTAAAAACACTTATTGTCATGAGTGGCTGTAGTAAATAGTACACAAAGACAAATGGCTCAAAAGGAAACAGTCTTTAATATCATAATATTTTAGAAAGTTAGTAAAGACAATGTTGTGACTACAGTGGCTCAACCATACGTTTATCAATCGACGAGAATACTTTTTGTGCGCAAAAAACAAACAAACAATAATAACGATTTTATTCAACTATTCATTTTCTTCTGTGTGGGCCTTTGAGTGAATTCACGTAGTGTAACAGCGCAACGCTTCTGTGTTGTACATCAGAACGTAGCTCATATTAGCCGACACTACACTCTAAAAAATGCTGGGTTGTTTTAACCCAATTTTGGGTAAAATATGGACAAACCCAGCCATTGGGTAAAAAATGTCATTTAAAAATGTAACCCAATGGCTGGGTTTGTCCATATTTTACCTAAAATTGGGTTAAAATAACCCAGCATTTTTTTAGAGCGTAGTCATGTGTGTGATGCATGTGATGCTGGCCAATAGCTGATGCTGACGTATCCAGAAGCAAAGGCAAAGTAAATACACAAGTAAATATGTAAAATAGAACAGAACTCTGACACTAATATACACTCTAAACATTGCTGGGTTGTTTTAACCCAACTTTTGGTCAAATAGGGACAAACCCAGCCATTGAGTTCCAATTTTTAAATGACATTTTTAACCCAACGTTAGGGTTTTCCATATTTGACCCAAAGTTGGGTTAAAATAACCAAGCATTTTTAGAGTGTAGTGAAATATTCTTAGAATTTAAAATAACGGTTTTCTATTTTAATATATAGTAAAATGTTAATTATTCCTGTGATGCAAAGCTGAATTCAGCATCATTACTCCATTCTTCAGTGTCACATGACATGGTCCTTCAGAAATCATTCTAATATGCTGCTTTGGTGCTCAAAAATATTTCTTATTATTACTAATGTGCTGCTTAATATTTTTGTTGAAACTGTTTGAAGAAAAAATCATGTCAATTGGAAATTTACCCCACTGAAAAGTTTATATTTCTTATAATATTCATAAATCAGTTTCCCTAAATGATCTTCATTTGAATTAAATTCAGGATGTTTGGATTTATTTATGGGAAAACAAAATTCATACCAGTTAAATTCAATTATTCAAGTACTGTTTTTTTTTCATAAATATATAGTGTATATTTTTATATTATATAAATATATAAAATAAATATAATATATAAATAAATATAAATATATAGTGATAAATATATCTATAAGTTTGTATGTGCCTATTGCTTTGGCAATATTGTGCTATTTTACACATTCATGCCAATAAAGCTAATTTGAATTTGAATTTTAGTGAAGTTTGAGAGTTTTTCGAATGATTTGCAATAAAGTCCATCTGTCATCAGTGTTTTTTTGTTTTGTTTTTTGCCGTGACAATACAAGTGGACATCTTCATCATCAGAATGTGGGCCTTCAATTAGCAACAACACCTGGTAACAAGCAACAACGCAGCCAAAATGCATTAGTGAGGAAGCAGTGCACTTATTTCTCTTTCAATCTTCTCTCTCTCTCCATCACTACCGCCATGAGTGCTCTGAAACTTTAATCTCTTTAGCATGGTGGTGGAAAGAGAGCATTGTTGGAAAGCGTCTAAGCTATTAGGCCTTGCCTTCCTGCTGAAGTGTTTGCATTGGCTCAGTTCTCACAGCTGTAAGCGGCTGACTTCGCCTCTGACATATTTATTGCCAAAAAAAAAGCATGCCTGGGCCACATTTTGTTCATTAGAGAGATTATATTTTACAGCGAAATACCCAATATTAATTTAGTTGCGCTTCATTAGCTTCCTTATGCAAACAACAGAGTGATGCACTTAACAGCTTGGCTGTTTTGGATTTTTGTTTTTTCTTTGTCAGTCCCAGTATGTCGGACATTTCAAATGCAAACAAGTACGTATAAATTGAATTTAATATGAAGGCCTGAGCTAAAGTATTTTTAAGATTTCATTTCCACAAGAAAAAAACAAAACAAAAAAATCTTTATCTTTACTGTTACTCTAACTCATTTGTGGTCTGACCTGCTCCTTCGCCTCAATTTATTAAAAAGGTCATCATTTATTTTTTCATCTACAGAATATGAGGAGGAAGAATGGAGCGACTGGTCACCATGCAGTGTCACCTGTGGACACGGGAATCAGAAGAGGATTCGTTCGTGTGGCTACGCCTGCACTGCCACGGAATCACGGACATGCGACTTAGAGCGTTGTCCTGGTGAGACTGTCAATACTGACACTCATACTTATACTCATACCTTTTCAACCCCACAATGCACTTCACTGCATAAATTTAGCAGTTAGCACACTGTTTATCGATACTCTTACCGTCTTGATCTTAATTCCATCCGGCTCCTTATTATGCTGATAGTGATGGAAAACTCCACTAATGCCTCATTCATCTCTGTCAGGCATGCAGAAGTCGAACAAACACCAGGGGCACCAGACTCGTGGTAGAAAAGGAGCAGTCTGGCCTTCTGTGTGTGTACTGTATACACTATGAAACTGCTCTTTGAGAGCAGCAGGCATTTACTTGGCTTCAGTATGACAGCTCAATGAGGGCTTTCATTTTAAAAGCCCCTGATACAGGGCGGTCCACAAACCTGCCGTGCACAAACGCGCATACACAAAATGAGTTCGCTTGCAAACTCAAATACACTAAGTGAGGCTCTTCAGTGCTGAACCTACATCAACACAACACCATAGAACTTTATTTTAACATTTTGAGATGCTGAAAAACAATAGCTATTTGATACTAAGAGAAAGTTAGCATTCCAAAAATAATTAAGGAGCTAATCAAGGTAATGCAAGGAGCCTCGAAACGAACGTGCTGGTGGAAATAATTTGGAATGGGAGAATTTATTATTTATTTATTTATTTATTTTTTGCGTTCTCCTGAGAAACTTTGCGTTCCCTTGCAAAACTTTTGCATTCACTTGCAAAAGTGCACATTCACCTCCTGTTTAATGTCCCGCTGGCAGTGTTTTAGAGCTCCGTATGTTAATGGAGCGTTTCATAGCGTTCGAACTTGGACTCAAATGTAAAAAAATGTGGTCAGTGCTAGGATCTATCACAGACTCGAACTTCCTGGATCAATGACTCGTGAGCTAAACGTTGTTAAAACACAAACGACACCTCTTTACAATCACATTAACATAGACAATGAGCTACAACCCAATTGTCCTCAAAACGAGCTTCACGTAATTAAATGTGTCTCTAACCAGGCGATTGAGAAACAACTCTGAATAAGAGACCGCCTGTAAAGTGCAAAACCTTTTTTGGGGGTTATATTGCACTTTGTAGATGGTCCCTTTCAGTCTCCCAGCCGTCTGCTCATAGAGATCACTTCATATAAGCTCATTTTGAGGGAAATGTGGGTTGTAGCTCACTACCGTGATTGTAATATTTGTGTTTTAACAACGTTTAGCTCATGAGTTTTTGATCCGGGAAGTTCGAATCTGTAATAGATCCTTGAGTTAAGCACTGACCACATTTCTTTACATTTGAGTCCAAGTTCAAACACTATGAAATGCTCCATTAACGTACGGAGCTCTGAAACACTCCCAGCGGGACATTAAACTGGAGGTGTCTGTCCGAGCTCACAGCAGGTTTTGCGTGGGAACGCAAATATATTTGCGAGGCAATGCAACAGTTTTGCGAGGGACCGCAAATATCTTTGCGAGGGAACGCAACGTTTCTCGGCGGGAACACAAAATATTTGAAAGATAAATATTTCTCCCATTCCAAATTGTTTCCACCACCATGTCCCTTTTGGGGCTCCGTAGTAGGCTAATGTATGAAAAATTGTGTTGGACTACACTAGCAATCAAAGGATAAATATGCTTTTTTGCAGCCAATCAGTATAGACCATTTTGCAAGATGTAAACAACACTGGTCCAGAAACACTTCCTGTTTCAGTTTGTAACTTTTATTTCACATGTAAAGAAAACAACTTAAAGATGTTTGTTTAACTTTCTGATTCAGTTTTATATGTTCTGTTGGCTGTATTTTATCCCAGCTTTTATGTAGTGTTAAAAAAACTGAAACAGGAAGTGCTTCCCCAGACAGCAAACTGACATTGAATCAACGTGGAAACGACGTCTCTCATGACATTGAAACAACGTTGATTTGCTCATCGAATTAACGTTGAACCAACGTCAGACGCGGCATTCTTCAAAGCTAAATGAAATCGAAAATTGGTTTGCTTTCATAACGTTGAAACAACGCGTTGATTTCAAGTTGATTTTCCGTTAGTTTTGAATTTTAGTTTTTAATTCGATGAGCAAAACAATGTCAGATCAACGTTGTTTCGATGTCATATTTCCACGTTGATTCAATGTCAGTTTGCTATCTGGGTCTGGACCAGTGTTGTTTACATCTTGCAAAATGGTCTATAGTTTCGACGGCAGGGGATAACCTTAACACCATAGACTGTATAAAACAATGGACGTAGTGTCCCGTAGGTTTCTGGAGAACATTTTTGAAGCCCAAAGTGGGCGGAGCCAGCCATCGCCATCTTGGCAGTGCATCAACGTGCGTCATCCTGGATAACCGAAAATGGGTAAAGGGCGGGATTAGCTGAGGTGACAGGACGGCTAACAAACGGCTAGTATGTAATTTAAATGGATGAGTTATAAAAATTCACCAATGTTATGTTAATTTGATTCAAATTCCAACTTTTGAAACTTAAAAATTTTACTTAACCAGTTCTTCAAATTCAGTTTTAAGTGTAAATCAGTTGTTGTATTTTCAACACGATCGTTGAGGTCATGTTTTGTGTTTTGTTTCAATCTTGATTTTAAATATCTTCTTTCTCTTTTAAATCTATAGATGACATAGTTCCTGTGACCGAACTGGCTCCTCACGAGGTGGCAAACAGCTCAGAGCTTTTTGACACAGGTTGGTAATGTACAATATGGTGTGGGCATTCAACAATTCAGTATTCTGGTAGTAGCGTAGTTCTTTTTGTGCCATGGTACAGAATGATTACCATATTTATTCAATGTGGTATTTACCAACACATTCTCATCCCAAGATGTCATCTAACTGACGCTTTTGACCATACGTCAACATCCAACGTTTTAGGGTACCCTTTCAGTTAGCTACCTTTAGCGTCAGTTAGATGACGTGGGTAGGTTTAGGTCTGGGGTAGGGTTAGGATTAGATAGCGTCATCTATCTAATGACGTCTTGGGATGAGAACGGACATGGTACATGCCCACATTTCCATTACAGTATTCATTTGTTAGATATAGGCAACAATGTACTGCACTATTGAATCTCTTAATGGAAGTGTCAGCAAATTGCCTTTCAAGCTTCTAGTGTGTTCTTTTATTAGTTTAATCAGTGATTATTGATTTGTCTTAGCTTTATTTTAACTTAATGTCTAGTTCAAAACCCGTTTCATTAGCTTCATTGTAGGAACTGCTCCTTTGAGACTTCAGCGGGAGGAACTCTGTGGGAGTCCTGTTAGACTGCAAAAGATCTGATGTTCACATTTTTCACAAATGCTCCACAGAGAGTGTTACTGAGACCACAAAGTAAAGAAAATTCTTCCAAAACTCCCACTGTTTGCTTTGGAGTTTTTTGTTGGTCTCTCATTTTTGGCATTGAACATTGAACGTAATAGCTCTTTTCATTTAACCGTAATAATAATAATGAAGGTAGTTTAAAAACATAACAGAATAAAGTGTTTTTTTAATCTCTTCACAATGGAACATAAATGTTAATAACAACTTTGTTTCAGCCTGACCGCTGCCTGCAGCACATATTTTATGGACAGTATCTTTACATTTTGGCAGCAAACAGAGACAACCCCCATTACGTGTTACACCATGAATCTCAAAATGGCCATAATTTGTTTGGCATTGTAAATGAGACTTGATGTAAGACTTAAAGGAGTTAGTTCACTTTTTTAAAAAAAAAACTTTTACTGATAATTTACTCACTCCAATGTTATCCCAGATGTCCATGTCTTTTTTTCTTCAGTTTAAAAGAAAGGAAGGTTTTTGATGAAAACATTCCAGGATTTTCTCCATATAATGGACTTGGGAACCAAATGGTTCAAGGTCCAAATGAGAGTTTCAGTGCAGCTTCAAAGGGCTTTAAACGACACCAGACAATGAATAAGGGTCTTATCTAGAACCCTTCGAGGCATGACTCGAAAAAAGATTTGTTCATTTTGAGTTCGAACAGGAGAGTCACGAACGTGCATCACAGAAAAGAGCAAGGCGAGCATTTGTGCTTAGAAAACTTAAACTTTTTTATTTATTTTTGAAATGATAGATGGTTTTGCTAGATAAGACCCTTCGCCTGGTGTCGTTGAAAGCCCTTTGAAGCTGCACTGAAACTCTGATTCGGATCTTGAACCATTTGGTTCCCAGTAAAGTCCATTATATGGAGAAAATCTTGGAATGTTTTCATCAAAAACCTTCATTTCTTTTCGACTGAAGAAAGAAAGACATGGACATCTTGGATGACATGGGGGTGAGTAAATTATCGGCAAAAGTTTTTTTTTAAAAGTGAACCACTCCTTTAATATCTTAAATAAATGTTTGTAGTTTATGGAACTTGAGATATTTTTACTTATTTATTTAATATAGAAAAATGATGCCACCCTTATTAAATTGATCTAATTATCCCATAGATGTTGACAGCTGTGAGAAGTGGCTTAACTGCAAGAACGACTTCCTCCAGAAATACCTACACCAGGTCCTGACCGAATTGCCTAACTGCCCTTGCATCTACCCATCCGAGGTGGTCTACAGTGCTGTCAACATCTTCGATAGGAAGTTGCAAAAGACCTATCGCTGGCGAGATGCCAGCGGACCCAAAGAGAGGCTGGACATCTACAAGCCGTCTGCGAGGTTCTGCGTTCGCTCGATGCTCTCTTTCGACAGCACCACATTGGCTGCACAGCACTGCTGTTACGACGATCACATGAAGCTCATCACTCGAGGCAAAGGCGCCGGAGCACCCAACCTCATCAGCACAGAGTTCTCCCCGGAACTTCATTACAAAGTGGACGTGCTCCCGTGGATCCTGTGTAAAGGGGACTGGAGCCGCTTTCATTCGGTTCGGCCTCCCAATAACGGTCTACAGTGTGTCGAGAACCCGCAGGAAGACGTCTACATGAATGAACTGGAAGAGGCCAGGGAGTACTGATCCAAGGAAAACTGGATTTCAAATATTATTGGCACTCCACCAGTCTTGAAGGCAATAAAAGCCTCCTACTTTCTAATTCGGCGGCAGTTCTACAGATATTGACTCTCATTGGTCAAACTATTTAGCTGACACTAAATGGAGCTGTAGAGAGAGATTCGTCTGAAGACTAAAGCTTAGATACTGTCACTGTGTACAGCTCCACTGCAACTGGTCCAAAGTCTAGATCTGGATTGGAAGACCATGATGCAATTTTCTCTGTTGTTTCTTCTTTGACGTTACGTGCGTGCTCCAAACAAAGTTCAGCGACAGTTCTTCAATGGCATTCTCTGGAACAAGTTCACTGTATTTGCATTGGATGCATGTTTGTTTTCCTTCAGCGTCCTCAAAGACTCTGATCCACCATTTAAGGAATTCCAGTAAAGCTGCTAGAATTTCGAGATATTCAAAAATGCAACAGAATGCTGATTTTGTTGTCTTTAAGCCTGAAGCTCACTCCTGGCCTCGCTTCAACCCGTGCAAGATCAGTCCAAACAAATCAAACAAAAGCCACACAATTCACAAACCAATTCAACTCTTTAGAGCTTGTATAATGTTACGCCGAATGTGTCATTGGACAGATATTTATGCAGGATCATTTGACCTATCTTTTAGCACATAACTGTCGCGGAACGACATTGGGGAGTCTGAGAAACTTTAGGAAACCATTTTTTGAACTTGCCTTTGAGAAGACGTCCCTCAGCAATGGGAGGCTTGTTTTTTAAAATCTGAGGTATAATTGGATCCCATTCTGTTTTCTTTTTTGCCTTTCAACACAACTCAGCTTTGTACTGAATGCAATATGAGACAGCCGCCTAACACCAGTGTAGGGGGCTGTCAGAGCTCAGTTGATGGATTGAAGTCTTCCTCTAAAGGTGAGGTGAAGGTGACACTTTTTGTAAACGAACATATCTTTAAATACAATGGCTCTTTCAGTGTCTCTGTTCATCCTTGAGTCCCGATTAAAGCCTGGAGGCTCACAAGGGATGTAGTTTGAAGGACCTAAGCCGCCCTTTTCAGCACAAGTGTTATCGTGATCTCTTTGTGAGATGTTGACATGGAATGCTGGTGATTTGATTCCTAAATTCTCAGTGACAGATGACTGTTCCATGTAGCAATGAACACACCCACCTTGTGATTTTAAGCACAGTTCTATCAAATCTGCTTTATACTTTTTTCCTAGAAAAATGAATAAGAATACAGTATTTGCATGGATTACTGTTGAAGCTGTTACTAAAAGGTGCATTGTTCAAATCCCAGGATGGAGACTGCAAGGTAAAGACTTCTACAGGTTTTCAATGCTGTTGTCATCAAGGGATTTTTGATACAAAACCATTATGCAATTGCCGTTTTCGCTGTGAATTGGATCAAGCAATATTTTTGTGATTTAAAACTCCAATTATCAGTGCACTCGTCCAGAAGCTTGCACACGGTTCATACTTGGTTCATCTCAAGATCTACATTCCTGTAAAGTTTAGTTATAACTCTAAACTTCTGAACTGAAAAAGATTATCTTCTGAAAAAGGTAATCATGGCTTGAAAAATACAGATAGACTGCAGCTAACACTAAACTCTGCAGAAAACTAAGCCAAGCACATTAGCATCACTTATGATCCCTGTCAGACCTGAGCAAAACCGTAAAGATATTTTCATTGAGATAACAGTAAATGGCAACTATGAAAACATCATTCAGTCCAGCTGTAAGAACTTTGGAAACATTCAAATATCCTGCTCTTTGTGGTGGTATATTTACTTCAAATATTACAGACATATTTTTTTTTGGTATTTGTGGTATTTGGTATAATTACATTTTAGCAAAAGTCAAAAAACTTTGCATACAATTCACTGTAGTTTCCAGCTGAAATGAACACTAGAGGCTGTAATACACCAACAGCCTTTATTCCTTTTAACCTTTCCTTTTATTGATTAATATTGACTTAACATTGCCATATTCATGTTCATGGAAGTTTTATGAAATGTGCAAGAAGCAACGCAATATCATTTTGCAGAAATGTCGCTACAGGTATGTATTTCCAATGGTTCTGACTAGTAAATCAAGTAAATCTCAATGTCTACATGCCCAAGTTTTGACTTTGGCTTTGTGTCACAATATTATATTTTCAGTAAATAAACTGATGAATGAGGGTATTTTGATTGGAAAGGGGATCTTTGTCCCTTTTTTTTTCTAATTTGCAATACTGTCTATTGAAGTTTACGAATAATACACTATTTTCTAGGTACATTTGATAGTAACAGTTCACCTTTCAGAGCTTCAAATAGAAAGGCACTTTATTTAAATATCAATAATGGAATATATGTACTATGTGTATATAATCGTATATTGAATTAAACTTGTATAATTTACTGATTTAAAACAAATTATGTTATTGTAAGAGGATAAATAACAAATGCTGCATTTTTCAAGAATATTGTATTTAATGTAAAATTTTGGCATGTCATTTTTAACTTCAGATTTATCCTTGTACAGTATTTATTGCTTTTGATTTTGTAACACATTGTTATTAAGTGGATAATCAAATAATTCTATGCACTATATAAATCTGAGTTATTTTCGATTTCTGGTCTGTGAAAAGGAAAGTGCCATACCACACACCGTTCTACTTCAATAATGTTTCTAAAGTCATCTTTTGTTGTATTAAACACTCTTTGGCCAGATATAATAAATGTAACTTTGATAATGTCATGCGTGTTTTAATTACAGTGTCCAGTAAATAATTATGTGGAGTTTAGTTGAAGAGATTTGATTTGTTGAAGTATTTTAAGGCTGTATTTATTTGATAAAAAAACTGTAATATTATGAAATATCATTATTAGTTAAAATAGTAAAGGCTGCATCAACATTCAACATCTTCAGTCTTCAGTGTTACAAACATGCTGATTTGCTGAAGAAACATTATTCTTGTAAGATGAAAACAGTTGTGTTCACTTTGATGAATAGAAAGTTTGATGAATAGAAACTTAAAAGTCTTTTGTAACATTGTAAATGTCTTTAATGTCACTTTTGTTCAATTTATGAACAAAAAAAATAGGGCTGTGCAAAAGTTAATTGCGATTAATCGCATCCAAAATAAAAGTCTGTGTTTACATAATATATTTGTGTGCGCTGTATATAATTATTTTGTATATATAAATACCTATGCATGCATGTATATATTTAAGAATTATTTGCGCTTAAATTCTGTATACATCTATAAATACATAATCTATATTATATAAATATAATTATTTTATATATGAATAACACATTTTCTTAAATATATACATGCATGTGTGTGTATTTATATATACAAAATAATTATATACAGCACACACAAATATATTATGTAAACACAGACTTTTATTTTGGATGCGATTAATCGCAATTAACTTTTGCACAGCCCTAAAAAAATATAATAAAAATTGGATAAAAAATATTAATGTCTTTTCACACTCACAAAAAATATATAATACATTTTTACTGACCCCAAATTTTTGAATGGTGTATACTGTTACAAAAGCTTTATATTTCAGATAAATGCTGTTCTTTTGAATTTTCTTTTCATCAAATAATCTTGAAAAAAAAAGAAGATAAATTTCAATATTGATAATAATAATAAACGTTTTCTGAGCATCAAAGCAGGATGTTGGAATGATTTATGAAGGATCATGTGATACTGGACACTGGAGTAATGATGCTGGAAATTCAGCTTTGCCATCAAATGAATATATTACATTTTAAAATATAAGTTATATTAAATTTTAAAGTATAAGTATATATTGCATTTTAAAATATAAATAATTTTAAAGTTTTAATGTTAATGGAAACTCCAGAACATCTCAATTGTGTTCCACCCACACCCTCCTGCCGCAAGTTGTCTTATTTTTATTAATAACCTCAAAAAGGATGTGTAAAATGGCTGCACATATCATAAAGTTTTTAAATAGCTAAAAAAAAAAAAACATGAAGTGTGGACAGCTGTCACAGCAAACAGCAGTCGTTTTTAATTTGAGCATGATGGAGTTAACAGTATGGGTTCTCATTTTCCGGTGGAGATTAGGTTGCCTTGAACACGTGTCACCTCCTTTTCTCAATTACCAATTAAGAGGGAGAACATTTTGTTTTTGGACGAAAAGAATCATTAGCTTTAAGTCTAACTAGTGCAAAATGAATTGGACAACTGGCTTGGTATCATGTCTTTATTAGAACTGTGCTTAATGTTGCGTATTGAGTAACAAAGCTGAGAAACAAGCCCTGAAGGGTTTTTGCTGTGCTTATCATTGAATAGCAATCTTGCTATGTAACTGCCATCTGCTGCCTTAATAATCTAATTGCCTTCATATTAAGTATCGCTTGAATGCTTCAGCCAGCCTGAACCAAGTCCAACTCAGGTGCTGCAATGGAGGTCAGTAACATTTTCCCCTCCCCTTCTGTTCTTTGGGAGCCCACTTAGTGGATTTCCTCAGCGGTTTTGTCAGATCTCCCTCAGATGTATTTTACTCTGACATTGTTGCCTGATGCCATTTTCCTCTTTCGTCGTAAATGGGTGTAGATAACGATGTTCAGGTTGTCATTCAAAAGCCTACAGTATGTAAAAATGTGCAACAATTCAGTACAAACAATCATATTTTGCAACCGCATAACCATCCAGGGGTGCGTTTCCCGAAAGCATCGTTAGCCAACTATGGTCGCAAGTTCCGTCGTTATCTGCATAGTTTAACGAGTCGGTGTTTCTCGAAACCATCGTTCCAACGGACATTCGCAAACAGCCTCGCAAAGTTGGGTGGTTTGAACGACAGCTCTCGACCTGTGGCATCGTTTCTATATTGCATGACATTTGGAGGTAATAAATCCTTATCTTGAGCAAAATAAGCAAGCTGACATTCAGTAAAACCGGTGCCTTTTATTTAGAATACATACAAAATGTAATTTACGTCTTTTAGTTTTTCAAAAGATTTGAAGTAACCTGTTTGAAGAGTGCGCATGTGCGAACGTGCACTAAAGTAGCCTATGTAAGAACGAGCCAAATATTGAGTTTGGTAATAAAGCAAAATGACTGAGAACAAATAGAAATAGTTCTCAGATGACATGTCTGTAATTTATATATAAACATTCTAGAGTTAATTGCATCTCAAACAGTTTCATTAAAAGTAGCCTAGTTATTACTCCACCACGTGCGAAACCAAGGTGTTTGAACGATACTTTGCGACAATCGGTTTCGGGAAACAGTCATGACTAGCTAGTTGATTTCTTCAAAGATGCATCATACTATGGCAGTGAAGCAGCGAGTTACATCGTTGTACGAGAAACGCACCAAACGATTCTTGCAAAAGGAGCATACACTGACTTCCAATGGTTTTCAGTCTTTTTACAGGTGGCTTCACAAAAAAGGACCAACTTATTATGGCGCTTTTCCACTGCATAGTACGGTACGGCTCGGCGCGGAACAGTTCGGCTCGCTTCGCGTTTCCACTGCGTGGTACGTTTTGAGTCGGTACGGATCGGTTCGGTTCGCTTAGCTCTGTTGCTTTTCCACTGCAGTAGTACCCCTTCAAAGTGTGTGGGACTGATCGTTATTTGCGCGCGCCTCTACTGCCATGACATCATCTTAAAAGCGCCACATTTTCAAACCCACAACACAGGAACAATGGAGACAAGGGGATGGTGTTCCTGATTCTCGGTATGTGGTTGTTTTTAACTGCTAGACGGAAAAATGTGTTTAAAATGAGGCTGATGGCAGCAAAACAAAATACTGCTAAAAAAGTGTCTTGTGTCGTCGCAAATCCAATGACGCTAGTAGTGATGCTGGTAGTGACGATTCTGTCTGACCAATCAGTGATCTGCAGTGTTTCACGTCACATTTTAGTACCGGTACGGTACGCTTGGAACCTCAACAGACCAGGTACCATTTAAAGCGACCCGAAGCGAACTGTACTGTACCGTACCATGCAGTGGAAAGCACCACAAGTGAGCTGTACCGAACCGAACCGTACTGTACCATGCAGTGGAAAAGCGCCAAAGTGAGCCGTACCGAACCGAACCGTACCGTACTATGCAGTGGAAAAGCGCCATTAGAGTCATTCGGACCTGGTTGAGCTGAATGTTTTTGATTAACTTAGAAAATGTCAAAAAAAAAGTTATAGTTAGACAAGAAACTCTGACAGAGTTTAGCCAATACAATATTCCGCCCACATCAGCGGAACCGAACGTCATGCGGTTTTGGTAATGTTTGTAATCTGAGGTTTGTTTCTGAATGATATCCTCCCCACAACACCTTAGCATTGTGATGGCGATCACCATTGACATTGTATTCTTGAGTTACCAGGGGTAACTTTGGTTCAGATATGCTTTAAAACATTCACAAAAAGCAATAAACCATTAGATAGAGTTGGTGGAAACAGTGAATGTTTATTGAAGTCCTTTGAAGTGAACATGGCACCCTCTGGATCTCCCACAGCTCTCGTGGTAATGTTTCTTTTCTATCAGTGAAAATAACAAGCAGAAATTACACTCACTGCAAAGTCAAAACAGAATATTTATTAGAGGTCAGCCCTTCAGTGAGCTCAAAGCTTGGCGGCTTGGAGCTGGGTTCAGGGAGTCAGGCAAAGATAACTGTACCTGTATTTGGGGCTGTTTGCACAGAAAACACCCCCCTCCCGGAGAACCCCAGGAGGCCAGAGGGACGCCTGCTCTTTGTCCCTCGCAACGAGAGGAAATAAAAATAAATAGAGGAGTGAATGGTCACGGGACATTGCTTAAACCCGGATCCAGAAACTCTGATAAAGACCCAGCTCTGAAGACAGACAAGCAAATTGGGTTATTCCGTGTACAACTATGGCCTTTGCTCTTGCTCCTGCTCCTATATTATGAATAATTAGGAAGTCTATTTCCGAGCATATGTTTTCTCAATGTACTGCAAACCATTAATGCATTAGGGGGCATAATTACTGTTGAACACATGAAGAGGAAAGGGTTTAGGGGCTCATGAAACAGGTCTGTTGGAGTGTGCTTAAGCTGGGGGTTTTCTCATATTTTTTAATACTTAAAAATAATATGATTTATTTTTGACTTATCATTCATTTGATTCATTTAGTCACTGAACCTCAGCAGACCAAATCTATGGCTTACAAGTTTTTTGTTGTTTTTTTAGGCATATTTTATTTGTGATGAATGTAGCAAAATCAAGGTGACGTTTTTGGGTTTATGGTGACGTTCCTGTCCCTGAAAACTGTAGTAAATGCTGCTGAATGGCAGGCCAAAAGTATCACTGTGAGCATTGGTGAATGAGAACAACATTTGAGAGGGGCTTGTTTTACAACCACTCTTGGGGCTATAAATAAGGGAGAGAGAGATCCAAAACAGACCTGAGAAAAGTGAGTCCATATGGGTGCTGGTGGAATGGTCCATGATGAGCCAAGATCAAAGCCTTCTGCTCTGAATGAGTACAGCTCCCAGCACAAACTCCTTTTACTAACAACGGATCCGACTGAATAGAGAAGTTATGCTATTGCTTGATTCTGTATCACTTCATTATATTAACTTAATATTTCTATCTTCTAAGACTTACAGTTGTTGACAGAATTATTGGCACCCCTGGTAAATATGATCAAAGATGGCTGTAAACATAAATCTCAATTGTTTATCCTTTTTTATCTTTAATTCAAAAAATTCACAAAAATCGAACCTTTCATTGAAGTAAAA